ACCTGGTGGTGCAGTGGTTAAGAATCCGCCTGCCAATGCAGGGGACACAGGTTCGAGCCCTGGTCCAGGAAGATCCCACATGCCGCGGAGCAACTAAGCCCGTGCGCCACAACTACTGAGCCTGCGCTCTAGAGCCCACGAGCCACAACTACTGAGCCCACGTGCCACAACTGCTGAAGCTCACGTGCCTACAGCCCGTGCTCCGCAACAAGAGAAGACACCGCAACAGAGAGTAGCCCCTGCTCGCCATAACTAGAGAAAGCCCGCGTGCAGCAACGAAGACCCAACGCAGCCAAAAAAAAAAAGAAAAAAAAAAAAAGCCCTTCTTGGTAAAACCTACCTTTCTAGCTCCTCCCCCACCCCGCAACCCACGCCCGTCTCAGGACTCCTCTGTCTGTAACCTAAACTCCTATAGTATCTCTGGTCTCCTGAAACTCTTTCCTAACGACCATCTCCTGCTTCCTGTCTACCCTGTCTTCAAATGGTATCTTCTTAAACAGCTCCTCCCTCGCACTAACATAGTTCCTTACGGTCTCCTAAATAGCATTTTCACTTGTTAACTCGTCTGGCACTCTAGCGCCCCCTTTTCATTCACGGCAGGATTGAGCATTGCACTTTTTAAAAGTAAAGGTTTTTTTTCTTCCTCCAAACCCAAAGTCCTTGTACAAAATTTGGAAATTATATTAAAAAAAAAAAAAAAGGAATCACCCACAATTCTATCACTCAATGGAAATGATTGCCAAAATGTTTAATTTTTATTTTATGTATTTTATAAAGTAATTTCATGGTCTATACAAAGATATTGGGTAAATGTAGATGACTACAAAGAAGAAATTTTAAAATCCTGTAAATCCCATCACCCATTTCAAAATTGGGATCCTACTGTCTATATAGACTTATATCCTGCTTTTTTCATGGGTCTCTCCCGATGTTAAGAACTGTTAAAGATAGTTGCATAATAATTCCTCTATAACTCATTTAATATTTACTATTAAATAACCAGCACGTTAAGTATCTGAAAAAGCAATTTTACTGTTCATTCTGGTTACAAAAAATAATACAGGTGTATTACATAAAATTTAAACCTCACAGATAATACAAATTGTAGAATGTATAAATCCATCTAAATACACTAGGGCTGTTTCAGAGGAGATAGGATTTCAGGAAGTGCTGGCATCAGGCAGGAAGAGGGCGATCCAGGGACAGCTAGGGACTGGCAAAAACAAGTGAAATACCGGATCACAGGAGCCAAAAGGTTAAACAGAGTGGGGTGGCCTGCAAGGTGTGAGAGGAGAAGGTTGTTATGAAAACCAACAACTCCCTTCCCCCACACTGGTCAGTATTCTTACCATAAATATATCCATTAAGGCTCATTGCTCAGAAAACATCAGCCTTTGAAGGGAGTTAGTGCTAAGTACAAATCCTCTTTTTGGATCTGAGGAAATTTGAGCCCTAAGAGAAATTATTTTCCCAAGGTCATAAATGGCAAATCCCAAACCAGATCTTCAGATCAGTTACTTTCCCTACATCATCCTGCATTAAATGCCCTCTGTTAAAATACAGAGATGTTGCCAAGAATGGGTAACAATTTTATCTATATATCCAGTACAGGTGACTTTCTCAAGGTAGCCACCTAGCATTTGCAAAAGGTTTGGGACACAAGACACACAAATTTTGATAAGGGGAGTCAGAAAAGGGTTAGAGCAAACATCCCAAACTTCATTCTCGTTTCACCTTCCTGATGTTTGCCAAAGCTGTGTACCACCTATGCTATGCTTGAGTATTTCTATTTAAAAGAACTCACATTTTTTAAACTTTTTATTTTACAATATATTGGAGTATAGTTGACTAACAATGTTGTGGAAAAGAACTCTTTTTTTAAATAAATTTATTTATTTTTGGCTGCGTTGGGTCTTCGTTGCTTCACACGGGTTTTCTCTAGTTGCGGCGAGCGGGGGCTACTCTTCCTTGCAGTGCGCGGGCTTCTCATTGCGGTGGCTTCTCTTGCTGCGGAGCACAGGCTCTAGGCACGCGGCCTTCAGTAGTTTTGGCACACGTGCTCAGTAGTTGTGGCTCACGGGGTCAGTAGTTGTGGCACGCGGGCTATAGAGCGCAGGCTCAGTAGCTGTGGCGCACTGGCTTCGTTGCTCCACGGCACGTGGGATCTTCCCAGACCAGGGCTCGAACCTGTGTCCCCTGCATTGGCAGGCGGATTCTTAACCACTGCGCCACCAGGGAAGTCCCAGAACTCACTTTTAAAGCTGAAATATTTGTCATTCTAAATGACAAAATCCATGAAAAATCATGTGTGGTTTTTTTGTGTTTTTTTTTTTGCGGTACACGGGGCTCTTACTGTTGTGGCCTCTCCCGTTGCGGAGCACAGGCTCCGGACGTGCAGGCTCAGTGGTCATGGCTCACGGGCCCAGCCGCTCCGCGGCATGTGGGATCTTCCCGGACCGCGGCACGAACCCGTGTCCCCTGCATCGGCAGGCGGACTCTCAACCACTGCGCCATCAAGGAAGCCCCAAATGTAATGTTTATGATGTGCCTGTCACTCTCCCCAAGATAAGTCACCCAGTTCACAGTGGGGCCACATTTCCTGCCTTGCCTACATCTCTTGCTACCAAAGGATCAAATAAGACTCTGGACTTGGATGCCCTCTAATGCTGTAGGTGCTGCTGCACACGCATTAGGGTCCTGGTTGATGTAGAGCAGAAGGATTTGGAGAATTTTATGGAATCCAATTGCAGGAAATACATCTGAACATACAAAGTCACAGGTGACTGCTCTCTCCATTACTCTCTAGGAGTTCATGGTGTTCCAGCCAATTAGGATTAGGTTCGGCTGTAAAAGACAGAAAACCAAAAATAACAATGGCTTCAAGTAGGTAAAACTTTGTTTTTTCTCTCCAGTGAAAGTGTGGGTAGGTAGTCCAGGACTGTCTCATAAGAGACTCACTCCTTTTATCTTGTTGCCATTCTCGACATGTGGCTACTTCATGGCTCAAGATTGCTGCTTCAACCTACGCCAGTCCATATATTTTTTTTAAATTTATTTACTTTATTTATTTATTTTTAGCTGCGTTGGGTCTTCGTTGTTGTGTGCAGGCTTTCTCTAGTTGCGGTGAGCGGGGGCTACTCTTTGTTGCGGTGCATGGGCTTCTCATTGCGGTGGCTTCTCTTGTGGAGCACAGGCTCTAGGCACACAGGTTTCAGTTGTTGTGACACATGGGCTTCAGTAGCTGTGGCTCGCAGGCTCTAGAGCGCAGGCTCAGTCATTGTGGCACACGGGCTTAGTTGCTCCGCAGCATGTGGGATCTTCCAGGCCAGGGATCGAACCCGTGTCCCCTGCATTGGCAGGCGGATTCTTAACCCCTGCGCCACCAGGGAAGTCCTGCCAGTCCACCTTCAATCCAGCCAGCAGGAAGGAGAGAAGAGGAGGAGTAGGGCATGCCCTTCCCATTAAAGATACTTCCTAGAAATTGCACAAAACATTTCTATTTATATACCATTGGCCAGAACGCAGTCACCTGGTCACACCCAACTGGAAGGGAGGCTTGGTCACATGGTCTTTATTCCATGTGTCTTGCTAAAAACTCAGAGCCTCTATTATTGAAGAAGAAGGGGTGAATATCAAGCAACAATAAGCAGTATTTACAAGTCTTTCATCTCTGCTGCTCTCCCCAGATTGACTTTCTCTTCCTTGCAGACCAGCCTTCTCTGTTCACAGTGTCTGACCCCTCACACTGTCCACCTGCACAGATTTTGGGGTGGCCACAATGTCAGCTTTTAGCCCAACTTCACAAGTCTTTTTTCAGTTCAAAAGCTGCACATGGTCTGGTCACCTCAGCCTCTGTGACTCGATTCCAAGTTCCTAGAGAGAAAATTTGATTGGTCCTGTTGGGTCAGGTGATCACCTCCTCAATTCTGAGCCAAGCATCGGTGGCCTGGGCCATGGCAGGGCTCTCCCTTTTAGGATGGGATGGAGCAAGTTCCCTAAGAGGTGTAAGCGGGAGGAAGTGGTGAGCAGCTCTGGTAAACCCTTCTTCTGAGCTTCCTCCTGTCATAACACGCAGCCCATTGGATGTGGTTGTCAGTTTGCTCTCCCTGATGGTAATGTGATGTACCTGTTCATGTTTCATCCCCAGAGCCTAGCAATTACCTGACACACTCAATGTTTACGGTAGAATGAATAATCCAATCTCGTCCTTAATTGTACAGAGGTTGAATGCTTGCCCAAATATGCATAGTAGGGCAGTGTTGGGGCAGCACAAGAACCCAGGACTACTGATTCCCAGTCCCTGGAGTGATTTTCCCGAATTACCCAGCTCGATAGGTCTGCCCCATTGTTCAGCACTTGTCTCCGTGCCCCTGACCGTGGCTGCAGAGAACGTCCCCCAGATGTGGCCTGTGAGAACCCCAGGCTGGAGGACTGCAACACTCAGAGTCCATTTCCTACTTTGGTCTTCCTGCTGAGGTCAATGTCTCCCCACAGCTCCAAGCTGGGCCCCTTTGAGGAGAGCTTGCCCTACCCAGGCTTGATCAAGCTAGGCTCTGGATGTAGGGACAGTCAAGGAGGTGGGCTGAGTAACAAGGCAAAGGTGGGAAAGTCTCCATGGCCACCCACCGGGAGCTGCTCTCAGAGGAGCGCGCAGCCATGGAAAAGAGCTGATGCTTCCTCTTCACCACTCTCCTACTCCCCAGTCCCCGTGATATCCCCCCTGCCTCCTCCCAGTTCCCCCATGACTCACTGTGCCTTTCTCTCACGCTCCCCGTCCCCACAGGCCTCAAACCCTCTGTGGCAATCCCGGGGCTCCACCACTGTGTCTTCAGGAGGCCGTTTCCGCTGCCCGTCTTGCAGGCATGAGGTTGTCCTGGACCGACATGGTGTCTACGGCCTGCAGCGGAACCTGCTAGTGGAGAACATTATCGACATTTACAAGCAGGAGTCCTCCCGGTGAGCTGTTAGGGTCTCTTGTTTCTCTAAAGTGCAGGGCCTGGGACACAGGCAGGGAACCCATCAGGGCCAGAAGAGAGGAGCTGAAACGATCAACCTGCCTCTTCAGTTTAGTGATGAGAGGACTGGACCTGAGAAGAGGAGGGACTTGCCCCCAGCTCGTCAGGTCACCCAGCTCAGGCAGCCTCTGATTCCTGGTTAGTGCTTCCCCCTCTTCACCTCGGAAGGGGCTGGCCATCCACCAGCAAGGTCCTTGCCAACCCTCCATGACGTCCCGCCCCACGGGACTTCCCTGCCCTGGAATAGAAACTACTCTTGGATCTAGGTCTCCACTGTGCCATAGCTCTATTCCTCAAAGGAAGAGCCCCGTGGAAGTCACTCGCCTGCCCAGCCACAGCACCAGCTGCAGGGGCAGAGAAGGTGGCGCTGGGCACCTGAAGAGAAGGTGTTCATGGAGCCTCACACTCTTGCCCCCCACCCAGCCTGGCCCCTGACCCTCCTGCCACCCTGCCCGCTACCCTCCAGGCCGCTGAATTCCAAGGCTGAGCAGCACCTCATGTGCGAGGAGCATGAAGATGAGAAGATCAATATCTACTGCCTGAGCTGTGAAGTGCCCACCTGCTCTCTCTGCAAGGTCTTCGGCGCCCACAAGGACTGTGAGGTGGCCCCACTGCCCACCATTTACAAACGCCAGAAGGTATCAAGCAGCAGAGGGAGCAGGCGTGTGGGGGTGGGGACATAGGACAGGGTCTCAAACTATAGCCTCTTGGTCCACTTGGTTTCAAAGGCAGGCAGATCAGGGCTGAGGTCCCAAGTCTATGCGTGACTCAGTGTGTGACCTTGGGTAAGTCACTTGTCCTCTCTGGCCCTCACGTTCCTCACTTGTAAAATGGGGATGAAAATGCTTACCCCTGAGATCTGTAAGGATAAAATGAGAAATGGATGCAGTATGGTGGACTCTCAAGGCCATCTCACTGTCACACATCTAGATTCTACATAAAACATAATTTAAAAGTTAAATTGGTAGACACGTAGGAAGCAAAGGAAAGCTCCAAGTGCCGGTGAGGTGGGGAGAGGAGGAGGGGAAGTGGGATGAGAACAGAACCCTGAGTGATAAGCACGGAAAAGGCAGGATTTCCCACAGGGCAAATTATTACTGAACTAGAGAGATGAGATTATGCCTCCAAACTCCTAAAAGGTGGGGGGCCTGCAGTGAGGACCCCCAAGGATCCCAGCTTAAACTGGAATCCCAGGAATCCCTAAAGTGGTCAGTTGTGCCACCTGGCTTTTGACAAAAGCAAATGCAAATTCTGCCTGGAGGAAAAACCCTCAATTTAGGCCTTAGGGTTTTTCTTAGATTAAGAACAACAAAAGATTATCTCATGATTGAAGATACACAAAGAAATTCAGATACTGGAATTACTGAAGAATGAAAAGTCACTTTGCATAAAATACTTTAAAATGGAATTTAAAAATAAGCAATAGGGACTTCCCTGCTGGTCCAGTGGTTAAGAATCTGCCTTCTAATGCAGGGACCGGGGTTTGATCCCTGGTCAGGGAACTAGGATCCTACATGCTGTGGGGCAACTAAGCCTGCACACCACAATGAAGAGCCCGTGTGCTGCAACAAAGACCCTGCATGCCACAAGTAAGGCCCAATGCAGCCAAAAATAAATAAATAAATATTTTAAAAAAGCAATAATAGGGCTTCCCTGGTGGCGCAGTGGTTGAGAGTCCGCCTGCCAATGCAGGGGATGCGGGTTCGTGCCCCAGTTTGGGAAGATCCCACATGCTGCGGAGCGGCTGGGCCCGTGAGCCATGGCCGCTGAGCCTGCGCGTCCGGAGCCTGTGCTCCGCGGGCGGCGGGAGAGGCCACAACAGTGAGAGGCCCGCATACTGCAAAAAAAAAAAAAAAAAAAAAAAAAAAAAAAAAAAAAAAGCAATAATAGACTATCAAAAATGCAGATTTGACAAAGAACCAAATAGAGCTTTTAGAAACGAAAATATAATTGTTGACATAAAACATTCAAAGGATGAATTAAATGACAGATTTCTCTCAGGAAGAGAGGACTGGGGAATTCCCTGGCGGTCCAGTGGTTAGGACTCCACACTTTCACTGTTGAGGGCCTGCGTTCAATCCCTGGTCAGGGAACTAAGGTCCCACAAGCCACGGGGCATGGCAAAAAAAATTTTTTTTAATTAAAAAAAAAAAGATGGGTAAGAGGGGACTGAAAAAACAACTTAGAATACGACACTGGGAGATGAGGAGGTTGAGAATGAGAAGGTCTAACATATATCTAATCAGAGTCACAGAACGAGAGAATAAATAGAATGGAAAAGAGGCAATATTATCCTAATGGCTAATCATGAAGAATTTTTCAAAATTGATGGAAGACATGAATCTACAGAAGGCATCTAGGCCAGTGCCTGGCATTTGGTGGATATTTGGTGAATGTCTCTTCCTTTCTCATTTGGTGGTGGAGGACTTCCTCTCTCCACCTCCTTCCAGAATCCATAGAGTGTGCTTCCACACTTCTTGAATGGTTCCAAACTCTCTAGATCTCTGTCAGAGCTGCCCTGAAGATGCCCTAATGGTGGAGTGGAGGGGGCAGTCCTTTCCTGGGCAGCCTGGCCAGGGTGGGAGGGGCACAGCTCTTGACTAGGTCCTCCAGCCCTAAGTGCTGGCCTGTGTGTGTGTGGCAGAGTGAGCTCAGTGATGGCATCTCGATGCTGGTGGCAGGCAATGACCGTGTGCAAGCAGTGATCACACAGATGGAGGAGGTGTGCCAGACCATTGAGGTGAGACTGGGATGGGAGGGAGGGAAAGTTTCTGGACTCCTGGAGGTGGATCACAAGTAGTGGGATGTGCTTACCAGGCTGTTGGTTTGAATCCCAGCTCTGTCCCTGACTAGCTCTGTGACTTTGGTCCAGTAACTTAACTTCTCTGTGTTCAGTTTTTCTTGTTTTTAACTATATAAAACAGTGATGAGAGAATGATATGTTAGCTACCTCATTGGATCTTTTTGAGAATTAAATGAGATAATACAAGTAATATAGACAGCACTCATGAAGCTTCTTTAAAATATAGTGTTATCTGCTGAGAGAGTAGATCTTAAAAGTTCTCATCACAGGAAAAAAAAAATTGTAATCTATGTATGGTGCTGGATGTTAACCAGACATATTGTGGTGATCATTTCAAAATATATACAAATGTTGAATCATCATGTTGTATACCTGAAGCTAATATGATGTTATATGTCAAGTAAACCTTAACAAAATATATATCATTATTATTACTGAAAAGATCTGGGAATCAGCAGCCCTTGGCTGGAGTTCTGTCTCTGCCACTAATTTGTGGTGTAATCGACAGGTCACTTTTCTTCTTGGCTGTCTGTGACTTCAATTAAGTCGGGAGTGGGACAAGTAGCCCCGTGCTCTCCCAGTTACGAGGTCTCATCCTTGCTTCTGGTCTTTCAGGACAACAGCCGGAGGCAGAAGCAGTTGCTAAACCAGAGGTTTGAGGCCCTGTGCGCAGTTCTGGAGGAGCGTAAGGGTGAGCTGCTGCAGGCGCTGGCCCTGAAGCAGGAGGAGAAGCTGCAGCGCGTCAGGGGCCTCATCCGCCAGTACGGAGACCACCTGGAGGCCTCCTCTAAGCTGGTGGAGTCCGCCATCCAGTCCATGGAGGAACCGCAGATGGCGCTCTATCTGCAGGTGGGCTTTGGGGGATGGTGTCAGGCTGCCTAGTGGCTGCAGTGGGGGCCTTGGCACAGGGAGACGGTGTTCAAGTCCTATCTCTGGCACCTACTTGCCCCACGGCCTTGGGCAAATCACCCCCTCTGAGTCCATTATTTCCTTAACGAATTGGGACGCGCATCCCCACCGACCCCGCAGGACTGTGTTGGGCATCAGAAATGGGACTTTGCCAGAGATTGGCACAATGCTTACTCTCACCCTCTTTTCTTCCCTGCAGCAGGCCAAGGAGCTGATCAATAAGTGAGTAGGTGGAGTGGGAAGGTGAAGGAAGGGGCCGCGGGGGCTCCGCTGCCACCGGGAGCGGGTGAGGGTGCTGGGTGCTTCCAAATGAGCCGCTGCCGCTGCGGTTGCCGCAGGGTCGGGACAATGTCAAAGGTGGAGCTGGGTGGACGGCCGGAGCCGGGCTATGAAAGCATGGAGCAATTCACCGTGAGCGTGGAGCATGTGGCCGAAATGCTGAGGACCATCGACTTCCAGCCAGGTGAGGGAGCGAGGATGGGAGGGGGCGGCGGACCGCTAGGACTAAGCGTCCAGACCCTCCAGGTTGGGGGTCGGGGGATGGGTGCAAGACGGCCAGAGAATAGGGGACTCCAGCTCACCCAGCCTTCCTTCCGCGCAGGCGCTTCTGGGGAGGAAGAGGATGAGGAGGTAGCGTTGGACGGGGAAGAGGGCAGCGCAGGGCCAGAGGAAGAGCGGCTGGAGGCGTCGGAAGGTGAGTGTGGGCATTGGCGGGGTCTGCCTGGTACCGCCCCTCCCCCGGCGATCTCCCTCTCTGCTGCATAAAGGATCGCTTGGGGCCCCTACTCCCAACCTCAACCAGGAGGGGTGCGCCCCCTAGCGCGCGTGCTGAAGTACAACTTTCTTTCCCACCATCCATTCCTCTGGGGGTTTGGGAGTCCGAGTTGGGTGGGGAAGTGGAGGAGAAACCCTCCAGGCTGGGGAAAGGGAGTGAGCTGGGCTTCGGAGTTGCCTTGTCTCTTTGGAGCGCCCGCCCACCGAGCTTTCTTTCCCGGGGACAGGCCTGCACTGACTCGCCCCTGTTGGGGAGGCTGCGCACCGGCGGCCTGGCGCTCGGGTGGTGAAGGACCTGAGCAGGGACCACCCGCCACCCAGCTCGGAGCGCCGCCGCGGGGGAGGGGCTCAATAAAGGGCTAATGCGTCCCGACCCGCAGCTCCTTTCACTGCTCACTCTCTCAGCCTCGTCTTCGGCGACGATCGCATCACCATCCATCCCAACCTTCTCCTAATCTGGGACCATTTCGGGGGCGGAAGTGGAATGAACCCCTGTTGGGCACCTCCTCGATATCAGGCACGGATTCGCAAGCCCAGTGCCAAGAGGGTCGGTGGTGGTGCGGCGGCACCGGGGCTTGAGTTCCTGGGAGACTTGGGGACGATGGGGACCGCAGGACCCTGGCTGAAAGCCGTTCTCGCGGAGCCCTCCCGCAGCATCTGGTCCCCTCTCGCCGACCTGGGAGCCCCACTTTCCCACGGGTTTACACCCTGCTGTGGTTCCCCGCGCCCCGCAGCAGAGGCCAACGGCTCTTCGGCACTTTTATTAAAAACTAGTAATGCGGAGAGTGCTCAGGGTATCCCTAGGCCGCTCTAGCCCCGCGGGACTGGGTCAGTTCCTGTCGCGCACGTCTCAGCCCGGGGGTGGGGGTGGGGGTCGAGATTTTCGGGGCCCCAGACCCCGCCGATCACTTGCCCACCGAGTCGAATATGATGCGGTTCTGCTCGGCGCGCTCCCTCTGGCTCTGCGTCCGCGCCAGCTCCAGCAGGGTCCGTAGCAGGTGGAAGGTGAGGTCAATGGACAGCGGAGGGTCGTCCCGTCGCGGCCGCTCGCCTGTGATCGCGGATCCCCATCGGCCCTGTCCCGCGCGGCGCGGGAAGCGCTCCGCCAGCAGCAAGAGGAGCGCGCGGGCCCCTCCACCGTGGTTCCGTGTCCCAGGGCTCCAGCGCAGACTTGGGTCCTGGACCCCGGCCGCCGCCGCCTCCGGGCTCCACTGGCTGCTCCCCGGGCGCAGCTGTGCCAGGAGCAGCAGCGCCGCCAGCAGCGCCGCGCGTCCCGCCGGCCTCATGGTACCACCGGCCCTGGACACACAGGCGCAGCGCAGGGTGAGGCGCGCCAGGGGCAGTCGCAGGGGGAGCCACTCTCCTTCCCGCGCACTTCCAGCGCCCCTGTCGGGCCCCTGCGACTGCTGCCCGGTGCCCACAGCCTTCCCTCCAGCCCCAGCCGCTGCCCAGTCCTGTGCCACCCTTTTCTCCCTCCCTCCCTCTTGGCGGGTCGCGGTGGGTGAGCTGAGCGCAGTCCCGGTGCTGAGGGAGTCTGGGCGGACGCTGAGAGCCACTCACAGTTTGCCGGAGAGCGTCTGTACCCTGCAGGAAGGAGCTCCCGTCTCGGTCCCTCGGGGCGGGCTGAGGGCGCCTTGGGGAACACGGGGTCTGTCCCGGGACTGCTGCCAGCCTTATATAGCGCCAGGACAGCTCCGGCTGACGTCAGCGAGGAACATGCACTGATTGTAGAACAATGACGGCCGCAGCTCCGAGTCCGACCCTTGTGGCTGCGAGACCCCGTGGGGCGCGTCTCTGGAAGTGACACCTGGCTCAAGAGAGGGAGAAGCCTGTTGGGGAGTAAAGACTGCTCCAGCCATGAGAGTCCTTCACCTGTTTAGAACAGCCAGCAGTGACCAGGGGGCCTGTCCCCAGACCAGACTAGTCCAGATCTGCAGTCTTCTCTGACACTTGAAAGGAAGACTGGACCGCGGGGGCTGTCCATGGTGCTGACCTTGTCCTCAGCCTCCAGAAGCGGCCAGAGGCCTCTGGAGAACGCTGTCCTGCTCAGACCCAGTCCCTTGCCCCAGCTATCAGTTCTGTAAATGGAGGCAATCAGGACAGCACTGCTGGCACTCAGCTACCATCATGGTGCCCACCCAAGAGGCGTCTGAGGCAGCTTAAGCTGCCAGGATTTTTGATGTCATTCTAGCCCCAGGATCTAAATTCTAGGGCTGTCTGACTGAGGCACCATAAAAAAGAGGGCCTCTGGTCAGGGTGCTTTCAGACAACAAAAGGCTGGTCCATCTGCTTATAGGTTTGCCCCAAAGCAGGAGTTTAGCCAAGTTAATTTTTCCCCTGGGAATCACAGCAGCAGTATTACTTTATCTTTGACCTCCAGGTTAAGATCACTGGGTAGGAAGTAAGGAAACTTGGTCTTAAGTGTTTGAGCTGCTACAACAACAATACCATAAACTGGGTGGTTTATAAACAAGACATTTATTTCTCACAGTTGTGGAGGCTGGGAAGTCCAAGACCAGGGTGCCAGTAGGTTTGGTGTCTGGTGAGGACCTGCTTTCTGGCTCACAGATGGCGCCTCTTGCTGTCTCATCACATGGCCTCTTTTGTGAGTGTACTGATCCCATGAGCACTCTGCCCTCATGACCTAATCACTTCCCAAAGGCCCCACCTCCTAATACCATCACCTTGGGCATCAGGTTTTCATCATATAAATTGGGGAGTATACAAACATTCAAACTATAGCATGTGGGTTCAAGTTTCTACTCTGCCTGTAACTCATGGTGTGGACAGGGCACCTCACCTCTGTGGACCTCAGTGTCCTCATCTGTAAAAGATTGGGCTTAGTCATCTCCAGGCTCTCTCCAAACTCTAGAAAACGGGACTCCGCAGTCGGTTTCTGCTGGGTCTTACTCATTGCCTCTGCAAGTTCCAGATTTTACCTATTTAGAAATATATTTATGGAGGCACCATACAAAGAGCTTGAGGGGCTCCCCCAAAATTGGAGCTAGACTAGGGCTGGGAAGGGTTAGAAAACCAGATGTGTCTATGAAGAGTGGGGATGAGTGGTACTTGCCAGGATATGAGTGTAAACTGAAGGTGACAAAATCATATGGTTCAACAAGTATTTATGGAGTGCCTACTATGTGGTGGGTATAAGACCATTATAAAGGTTTTAGTGATTTCAGTAGGAGTCAGGTTACATTTTAGAGTGAAACAGGCCACTTCAGAGTGCTAACCCCATTAAGTTCTGACCAGCCACCAAACCCTGTGAAAACCAATGTGCCCACTTTGAGGAGGTGGTTTGACCCTTCCAGGGTCAAGCTGCATCAGTGCAAGCTTGAAATGATGGAGTGAGGCAGACTTAGAGCCGATGCGCCTTCCAGGACAGGTAGGAGTTCCAGATAACAGCAACACACTGGACGACAGCCAACCTAAGGAACAGGGATGGTACCGTGAAGAAGAAGCAGAACAAGGACAAGCAAGCAGGGAGAGATGGGAAAGTACAGTGGGATAAGGGGGATTATTTCCAAGAATGCCCAGATTTAGCTCTCCTTCCTTCAGCCCCCACGGAGGGATGTGTGGCTCAGACGAGAGGAAAACCAGCTCGGGTTCTGGTGCCAGCCCAGAGCTCTGTCTCCTGGACAAAAGCTCCAAAGTTAACCCCCCCTCAGCCGCCATCTCGCCATGCATGGCTCCATTATTCGTACTCCTGTCCAGGCTCCTTCTAAATACACATCTGTCCGTCTTGTACAGCTGAGATCTCATCTTCCGAAAAATGTGCTGCCTGCCATATAAAGCAGCACCTCCTTCTCTTTATTTTAAACATACCTTGCTCTAGTTCCAAAGAGCACTGCAAGGACCCTAAAGTTTCATTTAGTTCATAAGTCTATACTCCTTTTAGCTGTGCTACTCATGTCCATTTTGAGCCTGTCCCCTCTGAAGAGTTTCATGTTTTTCCCTGTTCCCAAAGCCCCCACACCTCCAATAATTTTAACCACTCATCTTGGTTGCACTATATATTTTTACTGAGATTTCAGCAACTACCTTTATTATCTAGGATGAAATAATATTTTGCAGTGGACTAACCTGACCACGTTCCTACTTGTCTCTTTGGTCTACCTTTCTGCCTAACCTAGGCTGTAGCCCTGCCCCTGCAGACATGCCATCAAAGGTAGAGAGCCCAGGTGGGATGGAGACAAGGACTGTGGAGCAAGATCCTCCCTAGGAAGATGAAAGAAGTCAGCGGGCAGACACTCTGGGATGCTCTGTAATAAAATGCTCAGGAGTCTGAGGAGCTCTGACCAGGGCAGAGTGTTCTGGGGGGTCTAAGGTAGTTCAAGGTTAAAATGAGAATCACTTTGTCTCCAACCGTTCATAATGTGCATCTTCCTTGAAGGGTGGTGTGGGGATCTGTCATACCTGTAATGAAGAGGGACCAGGTAGAAGTTGGCTAACTGCACAGCAGGCCAGAGCTACAACAAAGAGAAGGTAAAGGTTGGTGGGCTGCCTCCATCACCTGACCCCAGACTCCCTGCCTTGCCTGGTCTGACTCCAGCTTCTACAGACAAGAATACGTTGCACAACTGGGTGAGTGCTTCCCTGAGTATGGTGCCCATGTGGGAATGAGAGAGTAATCCCAACTGAGGGATTTCTGTGTCAGGAGGAACCCCAGTCCCTGGCACTTCTGGACTCAAGAAAGAAGAAGAGGCAGCTGAGGTGTCAGCTCTTACATAGTAGTTGGTGATGAGAGCATCAGGATAATCCTGAGGAGACAAGAGAAGGAACAAGTGAACATTTGCATTTCCAGGTAGCTCAGACCTCCTGATCTGAGTATCACATAGAGACTTCTGCTCAGAGAAGACACCCCTACACCACTGCCCCTCAGCTCCTCTCCTCCAGAGCTGGGGCTCTGCCTGCACCTCCACCCTTCCCATCCCCATGAAGCCTGCCTCATTCCCCTGGGCCTGCCGGCCTGCCATCCAGAAATCATCCCCACACCTGCCCAGCTCACCTGCTGGAGTTTGGCCCAATTGTCCTGGGCTGACAGTCCATTGAGTGTCCCTACCAGTGAGAGGAAACAGCCCAGAAAACATGGGGCAAAGCCCCCCTAGGGAAGAGAAATTAAAGCACCTAAACCCCTGCCCTCCCTTGACACAGCTCACCCTCCCCAACTCCCTTTCCTTGTGCTCACCTGATCCAACAGCATCTTCTTTAGTGCATCCACCTTGGTGGTGCCAGGGATGAGCCGGTCCAAAACCTTGTACCAGCCTCCTACTACAGGGCCCTGAAAGTAACCCCCAAAGAGGGGAGCAGGGATGCAGAGGGGAGCATTAGGCCTTTACATCACAAAGCTCCTCCCCCAGGGGGAGCAGACACTCAAGGCTGGCTTAGATGTGAGAGGGTCCAAGGGAAACTAAAGGATGACAGGGAACTGAAACCACTGTCCAATCCACCGGTAGCCCTGCTGTGGGCAGAACTTACCACAAAGCCACAGCCCACGGAGACCATGGTCAGGGTCCGGCCAGTCTTGTGTGCCTGCAGACCTCGCCTCTCCACCAGCTGCTGTGAGATAACATCACCCAGGCCCATCAGAGACCCTGTGCAGGGTACACAGGTGTTGTCAGGACACCTCCCAGGGACAAGCTGCCATCCCAAGGAGGGAGGTAAGTCTGCTTACTGAATGAGGCTCTGGCACTCTGAGGCCAGGGGTTTCATTCTGGGGCAAATGGCCAGTCTTTCCTGCTGCTTCAAGGATGGTAACGCCTCCCCAAGGGTGGTGATATTTAATATGTGTCCTGTTAGAAACTGGGATGAGCAGCCTTGAGCAGGCCAGGGCCCAAGAACACTGCACTGAGCAATGAAGGAAAGTTGGACTCAGAAACCGCAGGTAGGGGAAGGAGAATCTGAGGTGCCAGGGGCTGAGATGCACTGACTGTCAGAATTGGAAAGGCCTTCCAGATATTTTTGTGCAAACCCCTTACTCTAGAGTTATGGATGGAAACGAAGGTCCAAGACCTCACATAACCAGTAAGTGGTAGAGCCAAGGCCAAGGACCAGGTGGCTTGATTTCCTAGACAGTGTTCTTTCCAGGACGCCTTACTATGAATAGATCATGTGCAGAACGCTAAGGGATCCTGGGGTTGTTTTTCCCCCCAGCCGAAGGCAAGGCCCTGGCCAATGTCTTCACCTTGGTTTTGGGATCTCTGTTTGTGGAGAACAGCAAGAATAACTCTAAAACATAAGTGTTCAAATGGTCCCAGGCAGGAGGATGCCTGGCTGAGCTGCTACGAGTCCCTGCAAGGAAGGATCCTGTCACCTCCCAGCACAGTCAGGTACACCCAGACTTCCCATTCACAGCCTGACTGAGCTGCCAACAGGTATTAAGGCCATTTCTCCCCAGGTCTTTGCACCCGCTTCCCCTCCCCTCACTTGCACAGACACCCAGCTCCAAGTAGCACTAGTAGGACACCCACACCCAGAAACCAAGACAGAAACCATCACTGTTTGGGCTTCCCTGGCTGGTGGCGCAGTGGTTAAGAATCCGCCTGCCAATGCAGGGGACACAGGTTTGAGCCCTGGTCCGGGAAGATCCCACATGCCGTGGAGCAACTAAGCCCGTGCGCCACAACTACTGAGCCTGCGCTCTAGAGCCCACGAGCCACAACTACTGAGCCTGCGCTCTAGAGCCCGTGTGCCACAACTACTGAAGCCCGCGTGCCTAGAGCCCGTGCTCCGCAACAAGAGAAGCCACTGCGATGAGAAGCCCGTGCACCGCAACGAAGAGTAGCCCCTGCTCGCCGCAACTAGAGAAAGCCCGCGTGCAGCAACGAAGACCCAACGCAGCCAAAAAAAAAAAAAAAAGAAACCATCACTGTTTACAGAGCCCCCGTCAGTGATGATGGTGTGATGGTTTCTAGCAAACACACACTTCTACTAGGGCCACTTGGGAGTGACTGTATGACCTTCAGCTTGCCTGTCCATCACAGTGAGTAATGAGAGTCCCCTCCAGCCCCATAGCCACCACTGTCCCTGTGCCCTCAATTAGCACTGGGCAAACACATCCTCATCCTTGGCCCGGAGCTGGCTCTGACGTCCGTGCTGGCTGCACACTCATTGCTCTTCGCCCGCACCCCTGCACAGCCCTGCCCCTGTGCAGCCTCGTCAGAGGCAGCTGAGTAAGGCTGAGAGCTGGGGTCGGGCTGGGGCACCCACAGGTGACCTAGGCTGCTGGCCTCAGCTGCTGGGACCCCCAGCACACCCACCAAGGGAGGCCTGCCTCTCCTCTCCCTGAAACTCCCAAAGTGGTGGAGGCCCTTCCCAGAACATGGCTAGACATGGCCTCCCAGAGGGCAAGGACAGAATCCTAGACGTCTTTGTTCTCTTATCCCCCACCATACCGAGCCTGGCAGGTGCTCAGAAAATAAACTGGGAGAAATGTCAGAGGTACCACCCAGACAACAAGACTGCCCTGGGAAGGGCACAGAGGACGCCAAGTGTAGCCCAAAGGATGCACCCAGGCTCAAGGTGTGAGGAGCAGTGGGGCTGAAGGCTCGCTCCCCCTCCACAATTGGCACTGAACACCCTATCCCCTCTCCCTAACAACTTGGGGTCACCAGCTGCGTGCCCAGGGAGGAGAGGGAGCTGTTGTGGCCATGCACAAGGGAAGAGTGACCCTGACGAGGCCTGGGGAAGGGGGAACAGAAAGACAGTCACTGCTTAAATGAAGGGACTAACAGTTTGACATTTGGCAAGATGTTTACAGTATACAAAAGGGCTCTCATACATTTAATCCTCACAAAAGGTCTGGAAGGTAGAGGTCACACCCCCATTTAATGTCTTTGAGAGATGAGGTGACTTGCTAAGGAGTGGAGCCTAAAACCAGGCCTTCTCTCAAGGGGGTACAGGAGGCCAGGGAATCCCCAGCAGAGGCTGAGACCTGGGCTCAGGGGCCAGTGGGCACCAAGAAGCTCCTGTGGCTGCTACTCATGGGGGGTTCCTGCCCAAACAAGGCCCCAAAGGCCTGCATATCAAAGACACTTCCGGGACTAACGCACTTCCTCTCTGTCTTTCACTCCCCAGAATGTGACCACCTCTGTTCCTTGTCACCTTGTGGGGAGGGCAAGCAGCAATATTCTTGGGAAGGAAACAGTCACAAAGAGAGGGGTGTTTTCACTCTTCACGGCTTACCAACAGTCACACAAGCTAAAGGCAGAGCAGGAGTGAAAAGCAAAGTCCCTGACATGCAGTCCCACAGTCCTGCAACCCTGCAGCCTTTGAGAAAGATGGATTCCAGGCCCCCAAACCATGCCCATCAGGCCTGAGAGACAACCAAGCAGCAGGAGTGAGCAGGTGGTGTGTAGCCGGTAGCCCTGCCAGTTCTGTCCATTTCAGACAGAACCATGCCCAGTTCCTCATCTGGAGGAACACAGATCATGAGGCCCCGTGGGCCTGCAGCAGCTCCAGGGAGCTCTAAGGCTTTGGTCTAAGCACAGAGCAAGGCCTTTTTTGGTCAGAGTGATTGAGCAGGAAGGGCTGACATCCAGATTCCTCATCCCACCTTCCCCAACCCAGAGCCCAAACAGACCCCAACCGTCCTAGGCTCTGGGAGTCCTCTTGGACGTATTTGGTTGACCTGGACCCTCCAGTGCTCTGGCTCCCCTTTCCTTGGACTTGTTTCCAGGGCGTTGGGACTACAGGCCTGCCGAGACATAATGCCTGAGCCCCGATGGGGCAGGACAAGGGGCTGCCGGGCGGTGATGCCCCAATGCCAGGCTGGGCGCAGAGCCCAGCGGGCAGACGCTGGCGTGGGTGTGACATCATGCCCCTGGGTAGGTGCCAGTTCTCATGCCGTCACTCACCACCAGATTCAGCAGAGTGGGGCGGGGGGTAGGGGTTGGGGAGTGCCTGCATCTGAGCACAGATCTATTTGGGACCACCTTCTGCCCGCTAGTGGAAAAGCCCCAACTTGCATGACCTCATCCTAGGCATGGGTGGGGGTAAGTTCTCTACTTCCCCTATTTTGTTCCTCTCCTGGCTTTTGTGTGTTGAGTCTTAGATGCAAGAAACCAAAGTATTAATGGAAGATGAGAAAACTGAGGGGCAGGAAGTTGGAATGAGGAGCAGGAAACTGTCCTTGACTATGGGAGGCCTGGGTCGGCAGGTGTAGCTGCTGGCAGGGGGCCAGGGTGCTGTCTCATTCCTCTCCAGAAGTCTCCAATAATTAAATAGCCGCCTGGGGGAGGTGCTTGGTCTGGCGGAGCGTGGAGGGAGCTGAAGCCCAGCAGTGACAGGGGAGCACCTCCTCCGGGATCCGTGGGAGTGTTCTCCCCACTCCTGGCCTGAACCCTTCCCACTGCTAGAAAGTAAGACAAAATGCAGGGTTCTGCAGCTTGTCAGGTACCTAAGCCCAGACCAGCTGGAACTATACTCAGCATTCTGAGGTCCCAGGTGTCTCAATTGCAGGGCAGTGCATTGGGAAGTGCCCCAGGTTCTAATGCCAGCTCCACCACTGACCATGAAACCTCATGCATATCACTCCTCCCTCGTGCCTCAGTTTCCTTCTCTGTAGTATCAGGGGCTGGACTGGATGGTCTCTAATGCCTGTTGAGCTCTCACATTCAGATTGCAGGGAAACCAGGGTCTGCAGAAGCTCAGCTGCTTCCACAGCAGGACCAGAGTGGCCTAAGATGGATGGAACTGGGCCCCCTGGAGACTGGAAGGGCCCTCAGGAAAGGATGAGAGAAGGCTGACTTAGACTCTGCAGAACACACAGCAGACCTTTGCCCAGGCTGCCCTGTTCCTGACTCTGGCTTGGCCCAAAATAGGTGTACCAGACACTTCTTTTGAACCATATCAGATCTTTTTGATTCACTTATCTCTTACTGCAGCCACCACTGCAGTTCAGCTGATGGGTCCTTGTCTCAGGCCTGTGTCTTACCTGAGGCTGAGCTACTGGTGCTTTACCTGGGGATGATGCCTGTGCAACCTGGTAGAGCACAGAGCACGGGCATCAACATCCCATGTGGCAAACCTTTGACCAACGTGGGATGGAGCCGGTGGGTAAAGGTTTCTCCTTTTCTCCAGAAAAGACTATTCACCCATAAAGTCCTAAGAGGCATTTCAAAGAGCTTCTCAGTCAGTTTTAAGGGACTGAGCAGCCATGTGCCCTAAGCAGTGTCCATTTGATAACGCACCCTTCTGTTGGCTGTCCCTCTTCCCTCTCTCCCCACCATGGATTACTTCCTAACAAAGTACCTGCAAAGAAGCTTCAGACTCTACTTTTTGGAGAACCGAGGCTAGATGGTTATCCATGTTCCAAATTTATGGCTAGTGGAACAAACCCAACCCAAGCACCACTATAAAAATAAGAGCTTGTTGTTCTTGGGTTGCCAACACTCATACAAAGGGCCAACTCCTGGAGCCTTTAAGTTTCTTGAGCATTTTCTGATTTCTAAAGCCTTTTCAGAGATAATCCCTACACTGACTCTGTGAGGTCATATAACTAAACTCAAATTCTAAACGAGGAAACTGAGGCTCAAAGAGGTTTATTTTCTTGTCCCGATTCACACAGCTACTAAGTGCTATGGCTCTGAGATTCAAACCTTGGTCTTCTAACTCCAAGTCTGAAATCTCTATTCTGTTTTCCAGTGTGATGAGCTATGCCATGGGACCTTAGGAACTACTGTGCTGGGATCTAAAAACAGCTCAGTGAGCTAAATCCACCTCCCCCCTTTATTAGTTTGATTCGAGTACACTGAGCAGCAGGGAAGGAAAAGTCTGAAAGGTCTGGGGAAGTCTGAGGAAAGTGCTACCTAGAGGTTGCTTCAGGGCTGAGATACTGGCACAGCCTCAGGAAGACTCGGGGTGTGGAGCCACAGCACTCCAGCACTGACAGACCAGCACCCCAGTTCAGCTACGTATCTGCACTCGGACCCCTTGGAGCTCTAGCTCCTGCCTTCGTCAGCTGCAGATCCCTTGGGTAAGGAAACACAAGGACCATCCTTCCCTCCCTATTCTTGATGGCCACAAAGGGGAGGGGGGAAACTTCCTTCTGGCAGTTAGGGTCCCTGGGGGAATCTGAGGCTGGGCAAAGGGCCCAGCGTGTCAGTTCCCATCACAGCCACCCAGTACAGCATGAGTCACCACACACGCAGCCAGGTGAGTCATGCAGGCTGACGGACACTCTGAGGACAGGATGGGGGATAGCTGGGCACAGGAGGCTGGAGAGGGGCCCAGGGAGGAGCAAAAGACTCCTTGGCCAGTCACTCAATGAAGTTCCTAGTGCTGATGTGGGGCTATTCCAGTAACAGGAATTCTGTTGTATCCTGGCTTTCAGTAGCATCCCCCCACCCCACCCCTTTTTAACAGTCTTCCTCTCAGAAGCCCATGGTCCTCATTAGAATCCTGTTCCCTTCCTCTAAACATAGGCAAGACCTTATCTTAACTGGTCACTCTCGCGCTGCCCCAATAGTCACAGGCCTTCCAATCCTTCCCCCTATAAAATTTATCTCTGTGCCATCTCCTCTCATATTAGCTAATCTGCAAAATGAAATGAAAATAAATACAGGTAAGTCACTGGGTTACCTTTGTGAGGTCGCTACTCAATCACTGGATTTAGAGTAAAAATAAATCCTTGATTAGTATATTGTTTGAGGATACATCCATAGATAGTAAACTATAAGAAAAGCAAAAGAATGATATAAACAAAACTCAGGAAAGTGGTTATTTCTTAGGATGTATGAATTAGGGACAGGCATTCAAGGGGTCTCAAAGCTGGGTACTGATACAGGAGTATTCAGTTTACTTTTATTTCAATGGTACACACATATCTTAATCATTTTTTTGTGTGTATTAAGATATATTTCACAATAAGAACAATACTAAGAAAAATAAACTGGGGTAAGAGTCTGATTCCAGCACTTATTAGGTGTGTGATCTAATGTGGACCCAAGTAATCTTAACCCACTTTGTGTCCCCACCTTTGTGGGGACCCTATGAGATAATGTGTGCTGAAAGTGTTTTGCACACTGTGAAATGTTAAAGGAGCCTTTGTTATTGCTCATTTTCTAAGTTAAGGCCTCCTCGGGGCAATGCCTTTCTTTATCCTAAGGGGATGACTCCTCAGGTTTGTGAGGACTTTCAGATCCTACTTTATAGCCAGGTCATCTATGCATAGCCCTTTCCTTAAGAACAGCCTTGGGGACCCTCCCTCCAAAACAGACTGGGGTGAGAGCCAATCCTTCAAGGGGTCTGAATAAAAGCAAATAATGATGGCGGGGGTGCAGCGAGCTTCTGCCTCCCAGATCACCCTGCGCTGGTACCACTAGGTCCCACAGGGACACTTACCAGCTGTCAGGACCTGTACTTTCCACGGGTGAGCAGTCAGAGCCCGCTGGTATGCCCGCCAAAGTGCCATGCTTTCTGTCAAGGCGAGAGGAGAGGGGGGTCACCCCCACTGCCCCTCTCCACAGTTAAAGAGACTTTTGTCCTTCCCTTGTGCCCACTCCCTCTTCCCCTCCCGCTTCTAAATGGGCAGAGGCTTCCTGGACAGCTTCCTGTCACAGGGATCCCCTTAGGCAATCGGGGACGAGAGGAAGGCTGTGGGCAGCTCTGGAATATCGGTGGCCGCCACCCGCCACCCCACCCCCAGCCCTGAAGCAGGTCTATCTGGGGGGCCTCTGTCCCGACCGAGGCACACAAGAGGACAGGTTTGCTCTGGCTTTCACCCAGAGCCTGGTCGGTCCCCAGATTCAGACTCTCAGTTGGAACCACCCCGCATCCTTCCTGAGCCCAACTCCACCCCAGAAAAACGGCCTCTGACTCCCTGGACCTGGAACGGTCACAAACGCTGCTGCCGCTACGGAATCGCTGCGCTTTGAGCGGATGACCGCGGAACTCTCGCTACTCACCAGCGCGCGAGCTCAGCCCCTCCCACGTGACCTGAGCGGCGGAGGGACTTCCGCCCCAAATCCCGCCCCGTCCGCTCGGCTGACCCCTAGGCTTTCCCCTGCATCCAGGGCCGGAATGGGAGTGGATTCAGCCACTAATACCGTGGAGAGGGGCTCGGCTCGGTCTGCGCTGAGTCTTGGTGCGGGGCCCGCCTGCCCACGTGGGTCCGACCTCTGTCTGCTTCTGCCCCTTCTCTCCCTGCTGCACGGGCCTCTTAACCTGGATAGACTCTCACTGTTCCCGCATCCCGGAACTGGCCAAGGTCTAGACGTCGTTCTCGGTCTCAGGAATCATAGTTTGGAAACTATTAGCCATAGTTAAATGCGTGCGTGTGTGTTACTTTTTTTTTAAAAAAAGTCTGTAAGTTCTTCACTAGCCTCAACTGTGAGCTCCTGAATGGGTGGAACTGGGTCTTGTTCGTATTTGTCGTCCTCATAGCAACTAGTTCAATGCTTTGTGCACGGTAGCCTTTAGAAATGCTGCGTAAAGATGACTGTTCCATGGAAATAATTCGGATTACAGAACCTCCAGTTTAGATACTAGTTTCATAACTAGCGGGTTTGCAGCCTTGGTCATCAGTAGACTTGAAGTTCCTCATCTGTTAAATTAGGAGGTTGGACTTTGTTTTTCAAACTGGGCTCCTCAGTTTTAGAGCTTTATAGATGTTTGGGGAAGGGGTATCACAGGTTCTTCTTTACCTAAGCTTTTAAAAAATACACGTATACTTCTAGAAAAAGCCACATTTAAACAAGGGCCCACAACTAAAACTGTTAGGAAGCCAATAGATGAGGTGATTTCCTAATCCCTTTCCAGCTCTAACATTCTAAAATTTTGTGAATATACTGCAACATCCTTTCTAGGGTAGTGGAAACATTCACAAGGCTGACAGCCTTTGCTTAATCATCCCTAGGGAGCTCACACTTCAGGAGGCAACCATATCTGACTCTTTCAGGGTCTTTACCTGGCTAGCTCCAGCCCCAGTTTACTCAATTCCTATATGATTAAGGCAGGGAGAATCCTGTAACAGAAAACTGGAGAAACACAGTAAGGAGGCAAGAGAATTCGATGTTACAAACATTTAACTAAAGCTTTCTATATGCAAAACACCATGCTAGAGGAGTGAATTTACACTAGTAATAGGAGACCAAATGTGCTAAGTTGGAAAGTTGTATTCTGAAGTCAGACTGTCTACCACCACTCAGTAGTTATGTGGCCTTATTCAGACTGCTTAACCTCTCAGAATCTTATCTTTGTCAAGTAAAATGGGGCAATACCAACCTCATAGGGTTAAATTAAGTAACATATGCTAAAGTACTTGAAATAGATCAAGTGCCTAATAAACTCTCATTTAACCTCTTTTCCTTCCTTTTCTCTTGGGAGCGCATGGGAGAATAATTTTTACTGGAGAAATCTGGGAAGCCCCTTGGTGGAGGTGGAATTTGAGCGGGGGCCTTGAACAATGAATAGGACTTAGGTGGAGATGGTGGAAAAGGACACTGCAGGAGGAGGGAATAGTGTGAGCAAAGGCACAAAGGAAGAAAAGTACAGGAACCTATGGATAGTATCAAATATATATCAGGAGGAAAGTTTGGAAGGGGAGTGGCCTGGGGCAAAAAGGGCTTATGGCAGAGAAAGAGAGCAAGGGCTGAAAGCATTTTCCTGCTTTTCTTTTGGAGGATGAGATTAGGGCAGAGACCCAGCAGCAGAAGCAGGGCTGCCAACACCAACCTACAGCCTCAATGACATGGGTCCCCAGGCCCCATCTTTTCTACCACTGAAAGTGGGATTTCCTGAGGCAGTGTCAAAGGGCTGTTGTGTAGAATGAACAAAGCTCCTCTGCAATGGAAAGCACTTCCCTACCAGTCCTCTCAAAAAGAAAACTGGCATAACCTGAGCTGGCACAATAGGATGGGGCATACTTGGCCGCTTTGCATTGACGTGAGTTGTCTCTCTGCTGCTAATGGTCTGGGTTGCCTCCAAATCTGTTTCCTCTTCTGTACAGGGGAGGAACTGAACTACTTGATTCCTTTCCTCTTAAAGATTTTCTCACATAATGCTAAATTCCCTACCCTGAAGAAGCAGAAAGCTGTTCCCAGATATTTGGCCAATCAGTCTACAGTGTCAAAGTGTTCTGTTCCAGGTAGGCACTGAACTAATCTCCACTCCCTTAAATAGGAGCTGGCTATGTGTTTTTCTCTATTTCCTGAAGTCATCTGACTACTCCCTGCCCCAAACCTCAGGTTGTACTCTTCTACATTCCAAGACTATGGTCTGCTTATTTCTCCTTGTGGGGTCTATCCTTGCTTAAGAGGCAATATTGCAGTCACCGTGAGTCTGCAACATCCCACAAGAGGATTCTAACAAAATGAGCTATAATACACTACTGTGCTTGGGTTTGAAATACCTCCTATAGTTGAAATAGTGTAGCTAAATATGTTTAATAAGTCAACAATGTGACAGTATAATGAAGGATCAAAAATCATGACGTGTAAAAGAATGGTTAAAGTAACTGAAGATATTTAATCTAGAGAAGAAAAGACTTGGGAAACACATGATAGCTATTTTTAAATACTTAGAAGGGCAATCATAGGGAAGAGTGACTAGATTTCCTAACACCCATGGTAAAATTTATAGAGGTATACTGTGTGACTTGATATAAAGGAAGATTTTTAAAAAATGACTGTCTAGGAGTGCTCAAGAAGGGTCAGATGACCAGTGATTGGGAATATTTCATAAGCAGGAGCAAGTAAGATCTGAGCCACTGTTCTGTTGGCAGGGTGTCTGTGGTGTGTTCCTCAGTTAAGTAAGTACTATAAGCAGCTTCAGTGCAATGAATTACCATCACCCCCTTGTGGGCCTGTGTGTTGGGTACTCTTAAAGAGGAAGTTAGGAAGGCAGTAATATTGGATCCTGGAATATAGTCAGACAGGAGCCTTCATGCAGATACCCTTTCCAGTTCTCCAAACACCCACTCACATGTGGTCTCAAAAACACCCAGTACCTTTACTTAGTTTTACCCACTTCACAATATGCTCAATATGAGCAGTTTGACTCCCAAGCCTAGGTCAGGCCTGAGTGTTTCTCGTGAGTCATAGTTTTATGCTGAGGAGACTTGAGAGTTTGTGGAGGGAGAACCCCCTTGCCCGCGGGGGGCCGTGATGACAGAAGAAGTCTGTGGAAAGAGGGATCTAAGGAGTCCTGGGGAGGCAGGTCTAAAGGTCCAGGCCTGGCACCATCACTGTCCAGGAAAGCCCCAGTTCCTATGGCTGTGTGCATGGGGCCAGTTGTTCTCGGCAGACTTCATCCTGAGTGTTCTGTGGGGACCACGACTAGGGGCCAGGCAGAAGGCGATGGCTGGTTGGAGGGAAGCCAGGCCCTTTAGTGGGGGAGGCTGGCTGGAACATAGCATTGAAGTGGGCTCGGCTTTCAAGCTGCATACGGTGGCCCAGTGGACAGGTGAGCGCACGGACAAAATGGATCCGAACTAGCCCTGACTGCCCCCCAGAGACCAGCCATCCATAGGAGTCCAGGTTTGGGCTGAATCGTACCTGTGAAGAGAATAGAAAACAAAAGAGATGCTCAGAGTTGTTGCTTTAGGGTGAGTCTTAGCTCTAAGAGCAAAAAAAAAAACCCACAAATCTGAAAGGATAGGAGGACCACGATGGGGTGAGAGGTAGGAATGAGAAGACGATGAATGAGGTACGTCTATCATGCTCTGGAGGATGAGAGTGCCGGAGCTGTTTCCCCCGCCTTAACCGTCTCCATTACCTTTTCATCTCCCATTTCATTGCTCACAGGCCCAGAGTTGGGAGGAAATGAGATGAAGGATGGCGAAGATGAGAGATAAGGTTCCTACCTTATGAATAGCTTCCAGCTGCAGCCGGTCCAGGCAGAGCCGTGTTTGCCCCTCTCCCTCCTGCATGCGCAGCATTGGTTCTCTGTGGGGCAGACCGTGGAATGAACTCTGGGGAGGAGGGTGTAATAGGAGAGAGAAAGAGAGCAGCTTCTTAGTTTTGCATCTTTCTGCTGGAACTCCTTAGGACTCCCTACTATACAAGGACTCAAGTTTTTTACTTTTTCTAATGCCACACCCATTCTCCTGGCCTCAGTTTACCAAATCTGTGTCTTGAAAGAGCAAGTAGTGATGGTTGACGGTTTCAGCGTAAGTTCGAGCCTTGGGAGGGTTGGGGGCCCCAGATGAAGCAGAAGAGTGGTCCTGACCTTCAGGACTGTCCTGATATGGCATCAGATCTGCTTTATATATAGGCTAGAAAGAAGAATGTTAGATTAGGTTCTATAATACTGAAGACTGAATAAAAGTAAAAGAGAAAATTGGTTTGGAGCAGGAAAGACTGTAAGTAGTATGTTTAAACATATGTTCAGATGCACGAGGGTAGGGGAGATTATGTATACCTCTATTCTAAGACTTCCAGGGAGAATATCAGGGCTGGGAGACCTAGTACTAATTTGTACTCTGCTGCTAATTGGTAGCACTAATTTGAGAGGTCATGTGGATTAGGACCCAACAGATAGTGCTGCTATTAAATATTCATATACGTACGAATCTTCGATCTACAGGTCGTTTGACATTTATTGGGTTCAGTGCCATATCAGGCAATATAGCTGCAATGAGCTCCCCAGATATATCTCCTGCAGCTATTGTCCCGAGCCAGTCGGATCCTGAAAGACTCTAATAGGAAGAGAGAGATATTTTTCATTCATTCATTCATTCACTCATATTTATTCAGTTCTGTGAACTGGTAACAACTTCACAGTCTGAGGGGGGAGAGACATATTCGCACAAACAAATATGAGTTTATCATAACCCATATCCCTGAAGATACAATTACCGCACACCTATCTTCTCCTTTTATCCAAAACTACTGCCTCTGGGACTTCCCCAGTGGTCCAGTGGTAAAGAATCCGCCTTCCAATGCAGGGGACGCAGGTTCGATCTCTGGTCAGGGAACTAAGATCCCACATGGCGCGGGGCAACTAAGCCAACATGCGCCACAACTACTGAGCTCACGCGCCTCAACTAGAGCTCATGTGCCCTGGAGCCTGCGCACCACAACTAGAGAAGAGAAAACCCGCACGCCACAACTAGAGAGAAGCCCATGCGTCGCAACGAAAAAGATCCCGCGTGCCTCAGTGAAGATCCTGCGTGTCGCAACTAAGACCCTACGCAGCCAAAAAGAATAAAACAAATTAAAAAATATTAAAACAAAACAAACCAACCAACCAAAAAACCCACTACTGCCTCTTTCTGACCACCACTAGGTGAGTAAAGGGACCGTTTTCCTGTGTAATGAAGGTTTGGAAGAGAGGGGCTCACCCAGACAGTGCCTTTTCGAGGAGCAGTGAAGTAGGCCTTGAAACCAAGGTAACCAGCATCAATATAATGAATTCCACAGAGTCCATAACTGTAAGAGAAAGAGAAAAGAAAACCTTCTTTTTTCTAAGGTTAGATTCATTTCTTCCCCCACAATTCAAACTCTCTCAGTGAAACAACCCTCAACCCTCCTCTCCTCACAACCATCTGGCACAGTGCACCCCAACCCTTAGGGCGTGTCCCCAGAGCTCCTCCTCTCTCCATCCTGCCGTACGAGGCATAGCAGTTGTCCTGGGCCACAGTGACACCATTGTAAGGGAGCAGCCAGGCCAGCTCTGTACTCAAGAAGCGCTTGATAGAGTTTATTGGTTCATAAGGTCGTCGAAGGTCCCAGAATTTGATTTTCCGGTCACTCCCTGCAGAGACTAGGAAATGACTGTGGAAAGATGGGAGAAGAGAGAGAGGATCAAATCTGAACAAGCCTGGAAGAGTCAGCCTGTCCCAGTCTTCACCTCCCACCTCCACAACTCTCCTATTCTATACCTGTTAGCTTTGCACCATTGAAGGGTACGCACAGCCTGGTCATGGGCTAGGAAACACTGGAAGGGGTAGAGCTTCAAGGAGCCATCAGAGAGCCGTATCCGCTGCAGAGGCGAGTTCGTGGGAAGGTTCCAGAAAACCACCATGCCTGAGGTAGGGACAGAATGCGTAGGTATTAGAGCCAGGTTCTCCCTTCTTGTTCTAATTCCTTTCTCTGGCTCCTAGGGTCTATGTCGTCTACTCTCAGACTTGATGCATTATGAAAGGCTATAGAGATCATGATTAGCTAGTCAACATTCCCTCCACGGTTTAAAGACTCAACCTGATATTTTTAGTTCCAATTCTCATCAACATAAAAGTAATAGCTTAGTCTGAGATCTGCAGTTGAAAGATAGGTTGAATGAACCCAGTGTCCTCTACTCCCTACTAAATAAAAATAAAGGGATTTTTAAAAAAGCATAAACCTTCCAGGACAAGGGTTGGCAAACTACAGCCCATGGGCCAAATACAGCTTGCTGCCTATTTCGGTAAATAAGTTTGACTGGAACACAACCACACCCATTTGCTTACCTAAGGTCTGTGGCTGCTTTCACTTTATAATGGCAGAGCTGAATAGTTCCAACAATGGCCAAACAACCCACAAGGCATAAAATACTCACTATCTGAACCTTAAGAGAAATGTTTGCCAACTCTGCTCTAAGGCAAAGAGAACAGGCAAGGAGCCAAAAGCAACAAAATGTAGAGGAATAGAAAACAAATGGACAAATAGAAACTAACTCAGCTGATCCAAAACAAGCTGACCCCTGACCAGGCTGGCAGAGGACGAAGTAATCAAAAGTATAACTTTGATAAAAGTGAAAGACAAACTAAAGAACAATAAGAATTTAATAAACAAAAGTGGGGGGAACCAGGACTTCCCTGGTGGCGCAGTGGTTAAGAATCTGCCTGCCAACGCAGGGGACACGGGTTCGAGCCCTGGTCTGGGAAGATCCCACATGCTGCGGAGCAATGAAGCCCATGCGCCACAACTACTGAGCCTGTGCTCTAGAGCCCGTGAGCCACAACTACTGAGCCCACATGCCTAGAGCCCGTGCTCCACAATAAGAGAAGCCACCACAATGAGAAGCCCGCGCACCGCAACAGAGTAGCCCCTGCTCGCCGCAACTAGAGAAAGCCCGCGCACAGCAACGAAGAGCCAACGCAGCCAATAAATAAATTAATTAATTAATTAAAAAAAAAAGTTGGGGGAAGCATGTGAAGCTAAAACCCCTTTTATACATAAACTCAGGAAATGTAGCATCTATGAGCCTTTTTGAAAAAACTTGACAGTGAATTACAGCTAAGCAATATAAGTAATTCAGCAATGGAGGGGGAGACAGAGATGAAAGGACTGGTGGAGACAGGCAATCATTTTCAATATAGAGTTAAGATTAAGTAACTCTGGGAATTAAGATAGCAAAACAGCACTGAGTATCACATACCTTGACAGTGTAAGAACAAGACCACCAAAAGAAACACAATTAGGAGATTGTGAGAAGGATGACAGGAAGCAGTGTACGAGTGCTAATTCCCTTATCACCCTAGCAGAAAGTCTGCTGGTGTGTCTAAAAGTGAAACTGTCATTTAAAAACAATAACAACCTAATAACGCCAATTACTTAATGTTATTTATAATTTTTTACCTTTTTCCTTTTTAATCTTAAAAGTATCTTTATGGAACTAATCTCTCTGTGGTGAAAGAACATTTATTGGGACCTTAGCTAATTTTTCAGTTTCACTTGCCTTTTCCTTCCATAAAGTTAGAGTATAATTAAACTTAATACCTTTTAATTTAAAATAGTATCTAGAGTATGATCCCATTTTTACAGAATTCTTTATCTCTCCATCTAATCTTTTTATCTTTATACATGCATAGAGAGCAGCATGAAATGATGTTTATCTACTCAATTATTTCTTTCTGAGTAGAAAAATTCTAGTGACTTTTTTTCTCTTCTTTGTATATTTTTACACTTCATGAAGAGTTACAAGTATATAATGGCGAACACTGAATCAAAAAGGAAACCACAACAGAAAAACAAGCATATATAAAAGTTTCAAGAGCGGTAGCTCCTTATGCTCTGCTTTGCTTTTCACCATTGTAATATCCAGCAGCCAGGTGGTGGTGGGGCCGGGTGGGTATCCAAGCCAGGCTAAGGCACTGACCACACTCAGAGGGGTCTGATGCTTGCATAGACCCCACCTGAAGGGTTGCCACACATTGGACCTGCAGGGACAGGAGAGACAAGGCTAGGGTTAGGGATAACTACTGTTTGGAACAAAGGCTCCAATCCTTGTTTAATCCAGCAGGAGGTGGGAGATTTTTCAGGTGGAAGGAGACTCGCTGTGGAGTCAGTAAGGGAGGCTCAAGAAGATGGAGCCTTGGCTAAGATAGCAGGTTCCTCACTCACCTTATAGATGGCAGGCTTCACTGCATCTGTGAGGGAAGAAGAGCAGTAACTGACACTCTGCATCCAGAGGACTGAGGTCCTAATTAGGCCTTGCTCTTAGGCCAGCACCCCCAGCCCTTTCAACCATGCCCTTCCCTCACACTCTTCTCTCTCTACCATCAAATGTATGAACCTGCCCCCAGATTCTCCTTTCCTCCTGTTCTATATGATAGTGCCCTTCCTCCTATCAGAATGGCTAACCCCTCCACTCGGCTCTCTTCTCATCCCCTCCTTTTCCAGAGCGTGGCTCATTTGGTTACCCTCCCTTTCTCCTGCCCTGTCCACTTTCTCTCTCCCTATTGGGTCACTCTCATACTCACATGTAAACAGGCACTCTTGTCTTCTATCTAAATCAAATGAAGAAACCAAAACCCTCCTTTACCCATTATTCTTTTTTTTTTTTTTTTTTGGCCGCGCCACGCAGCACGTGGGATCTCAGTTCCCTGACCAGGGATTGAACCCACGCCCCTGCACTGGAAGCACGGAGTCTTAACCACTGGACTACCAGGAAAGTACACCTTTACCCCTTTTTCACCTCCAGCCACCGCCCTCATTTATATGATCCCCTTCACAGCCAAACTTCTGAAAGAATTGTCTATACATTTCTGTCTTCACTTCCTCACCTCCCACTCCCTCCTCAGCCAACTCCTAACACCAGACCACCGAACACGGGATTTCTCAGGGTTCAAACCTAGGTGCCCTCTTCTTTAATTACTCAGTGCTGTTGAAAAACAAATAAATTCAACCAAATAGGAGCTGCATTTCCTGCCCCTTCCTCTTTGTGTTCACCTTCACAAAGGTGAATATAGAGGGAGAACTCTATATTCTCTCTCTCTCTTCACAACAAAGAGAGTGTGTTTACGTGTATGTGTGGTGGTGAGGGCAGGAGAGGTGGAGGACAGGATCTGGGGAGGAAGAGGAATATGGCAGGGGAGACAAGCCCCAGGCACAATCCTCAGCCTTCAGCAGCTCTTTACACAGCCAATTAACTGTGGTAGCAAGAGGGGGAAGACCTGAGAGCACAGGAGAGCAAGGAAGGCGGGGAGATAAAAGGTAATGTGCTGAAAGAGGGCAGTTACAAGACTGCAAAAGAGAGGACTGCGTGCAGGCTGCCAAAGAGAGAGGTCAAGAACAACACGTGTGAAGTCAGAATGGGAGGAGTGACTCGGTAAGGCTTTGTACTGGAGAGACTGGGCCTGGAGGAGTTTCAGGGGAGACAGACAGGCCCTGCTGAGCTGTGGCCACAAATCCAGCAGCCCCATTCTCCTTGCTGTGCTACTCACCTAGGGGCTGCTGAGCCAGCAGGGCCTCGGGATGGGGCAGACTGAACAGCAGCACCTTCCCATCTGAGCAGGCAAGAGCCAGGAGACCCAACCGGGGCAAGAGAGGAGCCTAGAGGGTGAGACCAGATCTGCACTGAGGCTTGCTGCCTTCAGGCACCTCTCAGAAAACTTTTCAGGTTCTGGTCCCTGAAAATATGATATGGAGTTGCTGGAAAAACTCCACCCACCACTCTCTAGCCTCCCTCCCTCCCAGAGCCAGCCCCTTGGTCCTGGCTCTGAGTCCTAGGGCCATCCCACAATCAACTGGGAGGTACCTTCCGAGGGGTGCCTGGAAGTTCCCACGCTCCACTGGGGCAGAACTTGAGGTCCCAGATGCAGCCGTGGTCACAAGCAATCCCATAGACAAAGTGGGCTCTGTTGCCAGGACTGAGGAGAGAAAGCATGTGGGGAGAATGGGTGGGAAGGAGGGGCCTGGAGCTGCCAGAGCCTGCGCTCCCCTTGTCTCAACCCAATCCGAGCCTTGCCCCCTTCCCCTGCCCAGCCCCATCCTTCTCTCCTCCTCAACCACCCTCCAATGGCAGTGTCCCAGCCCCACCTCACCAGCTTTCTTGCTGCAAGGTCCCAAGGTCCCAGAGCTGGAGCAGCCCAGGGCCCGAATAAAGCTGGCTCAGTGGGTGTGTCTCATTCATGTCAGGACTGGAGAAAAGAGCCACATACTGCGAGGCTGCTGCCCCCTCTGGCACTGGGCACCAGTCCAGAGCCCACAGCGGTCCCCCCGTAAAGAAAGACACATCCCAGCGCTCTGGGTGTGCTGTGATAGAGCTAAATCTGGAGAAAAGTCAAAGATGGGATGAAAAAAGGAGTTAATAAAAGGTAGTAAGGACTTCAGTAGATGAATGGATAAATAAACTGTAATACACCCAGACAATGGAATATTATTTCACACTAAAAACAAATGAGCCATCAAGCCATGAAAAGACATGGAGGAACCTTAAATGCACATTATTAAGTGAAAGAAGGCTATATACTGTATGATTCCAACTGTAAGATATTCTGGAAAAGGTAAAACTATGGAGATAGTAAAATGATCAGTGATAACCAGATGTGGGGGAGGTGGAGGATGAATAGGCAGAACTGAGTATCTTCAGGGCAGTGAAAATACTCTGCATGATACCACATTGATGGATACATGTCATCATACATTTGCCCAAGCCCACACAATGTACAACACTAAGAGTGCACCCAAAGGTAAACTATGGACTTTGAGCTATTATGATGTGTCAGTGTAGGTTCATCAACTGTAACAAATGTGCCACTCTGGTGAGGGATGTTGATAATGGGGGAGGCTGTGCATGTGGGGGGCAGGGAGTATATGGGAAAAACCCTCTCAATTTTGCTGTGAACCTAAAACTGCTCTTAAAAAAGAAAAAAAAAAAAGTAATGCGAACAGAATGGGAGCTCCACCTGGAGCTCCTGTGAACTGACTTAAGCAAGCACCAGAACACCAGTCACAGTCTACAAGTGAAACCAGTCCTGGCCACCATCTGTATCTTCCTCCTTTCCTTCCCAAAGTCTGTCTAGTCCTAGGCTTTCCTTCAAAGATGACAGGTTGTGCATTCCGGTTTACTACAGTGCTCTCTCTAGGGCCAGTTTGTCTAGGTCTATCGGAGTAGATGTGACCTTGAAAACTGGTTTTACCCTAAACCTCCCTAGGCTCCCTCAGTCTGGCCAGCAGCGATAAGCACTGCACATTCGAGGGGGCTGACCAGATCTAGCCAGCACTCCTACCCTTGGGACCAATTGGACCAGCATTAAGGGAAGAACAGGGCCAACCTATCATCCCTTTCAACAATCATTTTTCATTTTCCTGTCTCCCAGAATCAGAAAAAGAGGTGCAATCGTCACCTGTTTATTCGGTAGAGTGTGCCATCTTCAGGAAGTCCTTCACGTTGTACAGAAAACAGTGGCGACTTCTCCTCCTGGGGCAGGTAGTGAGCTGCCTCACTGGGGGAGGGCAAAGGGAATAGCCTAAGTTTGGAAGAGTTTCATCCATCCTGGGATTCCCATTATAAATCTAGAGTCCTCTGTTACCCTTCTGTCTCCAGTGGTGTCACCCCCTCCTAGATTTCAAAGATGTTTCTTCAACTTACAGTTCAGATAACAATTGCCACTTCCAGGCTAAAGGAATCCATTCTGCAAACTCCCAGTATGAATGCTTCTGTTCTCGGCTGGAGAAACAGAAGCATCATGAATGAAGGAAGAGAGAAATTCTAGAGCAGCGCTGCCCAACAGAAGCAGCACTGCCCAACAGCAGCTCCCAGTGATGGGAGCGATCTATCATCTGTGCTGTGTAACACGCTAGCCGCCAGCTGCAAGTAGATACTGGGCACTTGAAATGTGCCTAGTGCAACTGAGAAACTGGACTTTTAATTATATGTAGTTAATTGAAAATGAAATTTAAATGGCTTCATGCAGCTAGTAGCTACCATATTGGACAGCACAGCTCAAGGGCTCTCGCCTTGGACTTCCTTCGTGGCGCAGTGGTTAAGAATCCACCTGCCAATGCAGGGGACATGAGTTCGATCCCTGGCCCGGGAAGATCTCACATGCCGCAAAGCAACAAAGCCCATGTGCCACAACGACTGAGCCTACGCTCTAGAGCCCGCGAGCCCCAACTAATGAGCCCGCATGCCCCAACTACTGAAGCCCACGTGCCTAGAGCCCGTGCTCCACAACAAGAGGAGCCACCGCAAGAGAAGCCTGCGCACCGCAACGAAGAGTAGCCCCCGCTCGCCACAACTAGAGAAAGCCCGCACAGCAACGAAGACCCAATGCAACCAAAAAATAAAATAAAATAAAAATTAAAAAAAAAAGAGCTCTTGCCTTTGGAGCAGTGCCTTTTAGTTATGAATGTCTTCACAGTGTTCTACGCTGCAAGTGCCTTGCGCCCTTCCCACAGCCCCACTGCTAGATAGTCCTTTGCACTCCTCCACCACCCTTTCATCCTCAGCCCCCGTTCCCCAAGCCTCACAGGTCCTTGGTGAGATGAAGGCACTTCCAAACAGGAGCCATGATGTGATTTGGTAAACCATTGGGAGCCACTCCCCGGCAGTGTGGCTTCTGCTTCTGAGGATCAAATTGAAGAGAGTGTAAGGGAGAGAATCTCATAAGCTGGAGAAAGTCCCCAGGAGACTGCTTTCCCAACTTTTACTTTTCTTGGCATTACTTCCTCTCCAACCTTTTACCTATCAGCATCTTAAAAGATTTGTATCTCAACCATTACAATGACTTCTTCATCTTCTGCTCTTATTCCTCCATCAAAACCGCAAAACCTGCTCTCTGTTTTCTGTTCATCTTCCTTGGCATGTCTCCATGGCACCTGATTCAGAGGACTCCTTTTGCTTCTTGAAACTCCTGCCCTATGGGGTAGTCTCTCCTTATTCCTCCCATGTCTCTCCTTATTCCTCCCACGTCTCCTTCGCAGGCTCTCCCTCCTCTGATCCATTTGGTCAGTGACGGTATTTCCTAGAGGCCCTCTGTCTCCTCAGCCCTCAATACACGTACTCCTGGTAATTTCATCCTATGTCTCATGGCTTTGACCACCATTTTAATGCCTGATTATCAAGGCTGCATCTTAGTAAATGTAAACGTTACTCAGTCTCAACTTTTCTACAAATTCTAGACTCAGTGTGGTGCTGAGCCATATTAGAGCCTGAGGCAAAAGGGAAAATCAATTATATGGTTTCTATCTTTATTTAAATTTTTGGTATTTTCTTCACTACAGATTTGTTGCATTAATTTTGATTTTTAAAATGTTGCATCGAGATATTTATCTTGATTACTGGGGGTTTTGGTGCTCCCTTAAATGTTGCATCTGGGAGAAGTAAGGCACTGGTCCCATATATCTAACTGGCAAAGAGACATCTCCAGAAGGATGGCCCTTGATCTACCAGCACCTCCAACTCGACATGTCAGAAAGTAAACTCATCACCTCGCCTGCCCACCTTCCCCCATCCTGAGTCCCCCACTCTTTCTGTGTGCCCAGGTTCAGTGTATGAGAGCACCATCAAAGCTGGAAACTCTTACTCCTTCAATTCCCAACTGCTATTAATTCTCTTATATATCTCTTTTATCTGCCTCCCCGTCTTCTCTTCCTTCACTGCTTAATTTAGGCCCTCACTAACTCTGTAGCACTAGAGAACTGAAGCTGTCTTCTTTATTGTCAACTGCAAATTAATATATTTTCCTAACTGATCATGTTATTTTTCTACCTAAAAACCTCTGTTGCATAGAGTTTCTCTTTGGGATGACAAAAGTTTTGGAAATGGATAGTGGTGATGGTTACACTACATTGTGAATGCACTGAATGCCAATGAATTATACATTTTAAAATGATAAATTTTGTTTTATCTACTTTACCATAATTAAACACACACACACACACACACGCCCTTTGTTGGCTCCTATCAGTTTTAGTCCTTTCATCTTCTCTAGTTTAATCTTCCCCACCACTTTACCCCAGGCCCTATGCTGCAGCTACAACCAATTTCTGGGAAAACCATCCTCTCTGGCAAACTTCTATTCCTTTCAAGACCTAGCTCAAGTATCATTTCTCCATGAAGTCCAAGCAGTTAATCATCCTTCCTCTATACGCCTAAAGCAGATTGTTCACTCCTGATGCAGCACTTATCACACTGCGAGCTTTGTAAAGCAAGACCCTGTCTTACTCATGCTTGTGTTTCCCAGCATAGAGTAGACGCTCAACATATGAACGAATAATCTTGTTTAGTCACACCCGCAGCCCCTACAATCTCAACTGTGTTTGAAATTGCTCTTTTTTCCTTTTACCTGTTTTGGCCATCCTAGTTACTAGGCCAAAGCTTCCCTTCTAGGCGTCCTGCTGACCCCCTAATAATCCTGCTATCCCCATTCACTCTGTCTATTCAGGTTACCCCTGAAGTGGATGCTCGTGCGGTGCTTCGGGGCACTGTAGGCTCGGGGTCAGACGAGCTCTCGCTTGGGGCCTCACTTTCTTCTCCATCTTCAGCCTCAACCTGGAGAACGAAGTCTTCGTCCCGTGCGGTGTCATCCTCTTCTTCTCCATAATGACAGGCTGCCTGCTGCTGGTTCTTCTTGGGTTTGGTGGGGCTGCTCACCTTGGGGCTCTCAGGACAGGATACTGGAGCAGGCAGGGCTGTTGAGAGCTCTTCAGCCAGTTCCTGAAGATACAGAAGTGCCCTGTGGGATAGGGCAGAGTCAGAGCAACACTCACAGACACTTAACCGAGAGCCCACTGTGCCCGACACTTGGCTGATTCTTATCTCACTAGATCCTCCCAGTGACCATGCGAAGTGGCTATTAATTTCCCTTCCCCTTTGATAGATGTAGAAAGAGAAATCCAGGAAAGTTAAGTGACTTGGCCAAGATGATTCAGATCACATATGTGGAATCTGAACCCAGTTCTTCTGACTCCAAGTCCAAAGCACTTTTCACTCTACCACAGTCAAAGATCATTGAGGGCAAAGGGAAAGAATGGAAGGGCACATATATACTGACACATATTGGGCAGTAAAATTGCAATGAAGACTTGGAGGACACTGTGAAAAATGCGATAGGATATGAGGTACAGAAAGGAACCTCCCAGATAGACAAATTTAACCACAGATAAAATTGCTGTGGTAAGAGCTAGAAGATTGCTCAAGTCCCCAGAACCCAGACACCACCCCTGCTTACCTGACACCTCATCACAGTCCACTCATCTCTCCAGCATCTGCCCCACCCTCATCCCTTCACCCAGCCCCCCTCCACCAAGCTGTGCCCCGAAATCCTTACACTTGGGCAGCCCTTCGGCGGGGTCGTTCCCCAGGAGGGGTCTCAAAGTCCTCAGGGGGCCTCTTTGGATGTGGAGACTCTGGCTGATCTAGGCCTTTTGACAACTTCAGCAGTAGCAGATCTGCCTTGGACTTTCGACCTCGTTTCTTAGGCATGGGGGTGGACAGAGGGTTGGACTGATCTAAGAGACCAGGAACCCGAGGGGCTGATGGAGAATTAGGCTGCTGGGGCCTTTTGGGGCCTTTCCGTGTCCTACCACCTCTCTTCGGGCCAGGCTTTGAGGCCCTAGGCTTTGGGACCTTTGACATCTCTGAAGAAAGATCTGTAGAGAAGAATATGGGTCTGTGAGATGGGACCAGAGCTCAAGCCTCTTTGGAACAGATTACATCATACCCAAGTTTGTAAGGTCCTATGAGCTCAACCTGCTCTCGTTCATCTTAAGCTGAGCATGGGGAGATAAAAAGCTGAAAGGTCAAGGGACATACCTTGCTGTTCCAGTCTGGAGAGGGTTTCCTGCTCTGGAGGGAGCCTCCTCTCATCAAGAGAATCCTCAAATCCAGGCAAAGGGGTAGATAATGATGTCTCTATGGAAGCCTCCACACTGGTTGTTTCTGAAGAGGCCTTGACATCAAGCTGTTTTAGCACCTCTTGTCCAGGAGAGTCTACCACAGTCATGTTCCCCACGGGGCCGGCCTCCTCCAGAGCAACACAGCCGACCCCGTAGGGATCCATCAGCACCCCCTAAAATGGCTGCGCCTGCATATAAGAGACATACAAGTGAGTAGAAGGTAAAAGCTATTTGCACTGGCTCAGATTTTTCTACTTTCCTGTCTTTCTCTTCTCACAACCATTTCTCCAACCTCCCCCCACCTTCCCCACCAACCAGAAACCCAAGCTCTCTGATCATTCATTCATTCAGCAATAATTACTAAGCATATTCTATATGTCAGGCACCATTCTAGGAACTGGTAACATGACAATAAGCAAGACAGACAAGGTCCCTGACCTCACGGAACTCACATGTTAGTGGAGCTGACAATAAACAAACAAGCAATAATAAAGCTACCATTTATTAAAGGCTTACTATGTGCCAAGTATTGTACTAAGTGCTTTATTTAGATTATTTAAAGTGAGTGAACAATTATTTAACTCCTCTCCCTGAAACCCAATGAAATGAATCATCCCCTCCCCCTCAAAAAAAAAAAAAAAGAGAGAGAGAGAGAGAGAGAGAAAATCACCTGTTATGAATGTAGGAAAGGGCTGCAAGTTTCTAGAATAGACTATAATGAATAGCTGCCAGATACTATAAAGTTTACATCAAATTGAAGGAGGACAGGATGACTAGATCTGACATCCATCTTTGTGAATATTAGTCAAGGTACAGATTTATTTAAGAATAAGTAATTCTCTAGTGTCCTGCTAGCAATCTTTCAGCTGGATGGGGGAGGTGGTAGCCTATGAGACAATTAAGGAACATCCTACTACATTAAGAGACCATTTCCACACTGAAGAATAGACTAAAAAATGGTCATGAATCTTCATTTTCTTCGAACGCAGGAAACCAGCTGTGCAACCATGGACCAAAGTAAACTGACAGAGATAAACAACACTCACTACCAAACCAAAAACCTGAGCAACACAGAACTCTGCAAGGGCCCAGTTTCTGGCCAGAATAACCTACTTGTCTGTAACAAAAGGGAAGAAATAGCTCAGATCCCAGGAGGAACCCCTCCATAGGTCTATATATGTCTTAAGGATAAAGAATTCATCAGCCTCAGTGGAAAAGTGTGCTAATACAAATACCACAAGAAATATCATACAAATTAAAGTTTCCAACTGTCTCTCTTGAGGAAGCTACAGTCTATCATTATAAACTATAACAACAGCCAACTCTTTAACTCAGGTGCTAAGGATACATTATAACATCATATGCTAGGGATATAGTATAACACTATCAAGGTAAATTGAGGTCAATGAGAATCCACCTACATTGTTCTCTGGTAAACAGCAAACCCTGAGAGAACTACTCCATTCGAAATTAGTAATAAGCAAAAAGGATCCAATGGGACCTATGCATAGTTACTATGGAAAGAATATAAAGGACACAAATGAAAAAGGTGAAAAGTACCCTTTCAAAGAAAGTCTCCAGAAAACAAGAAATTTTCCAACAAATCTTCTATTCTTTCAAAAAAGCCAAAGAGACTGTGGAATCCAAGATTTAAGAGACCAAAGAAGAAATAAAACAATGGCAAGGCAAAAAAAAAAAATGAGCTGGCAGTTATAAGGAAAGAAACTGAGTAAAAGAATAAAATCAAAGAAATGAAAACCAGAGAAGCAAAATGCTGAAACTATACATACTACTGAAAAGACAATCAGTGATATGAAAGACATGTTTGAAAAAAACCACACAGGTTGTAAAGAGATAAAAGTGATTAGTGAGAAGATGATATGGATGAAAAGAGAAAGTGGAAAGCCAACATATGAATCATTGATGTTCCTGAAGAAGAGAGAAGAAAAATGGGAACAGAAAAAAAACATGCTCAAAGACCTAACAAAAGAAAATTTCCTGAAATGAAAACTAGAAATGTGTACTTTCCTAACATAAAGGAAGATCTCAGTCTATAGATCAAAAGGGCTTATGGTGCAAAAGGAAGACAAAAATCAATAAATACTCATTAAGACCAAGAAATACAAGTGAAGATACTAAATTTCTCCTACAAAGAGAAAAAAAAAAAATCAGGTCAGCCTCAGAGTTCTCAGAAACATTTGATGCCAGAAGATAAAGAAACATTAAAAGGATCAAGAGAATTCTTTACTTAACTGTCATTCATGTAAAGGTAATGGGATGACATTCTAAATATGCAAGTTTCTAAAAAAATACACTTGAAGACCTAATTTAGCCAATGAAAGATAAATCAATATAAAGAACTTGCTAATGGAGAAGTTGTGCTATTAAAAGGCTGGCAGTAAGGATTTAACCCAGTGACACATCATTAACTGTGGTAACTACAGGTATAAAACAGATTATAAATTAAAAATTTCAATGTCCCACAATGTAAAAATACCAATATTCTGATTGTAGTAGATTGGGGCAAAAGAAGAAGTTCTTAATTTTGCTTCTAAGGCTGACAAATTGAAAAATATAGATTTACCAATACCATTTTTTTTGGGGGGGGGTTGCACCGTGTGGCTTACGGGATCTCAGTTCCTGGACAAGGGATTGAACCCTAGCCACGGCAGTGAAAACCTGGAATCCTAACAACTAGGCCACCATGGAACTCCCTACTAATACCATTTAGATGTTTAATAGAACTAAAAACAGCATGCTATATTGCTTCCAAAATACCCAATAGGGCTAAGAAACGGAAGGAATTTTTTAAAAGACCACATAATAAAAGATCATTAAAAATAATGGAAGCACACACACACACAAAGAGAAAAGAAAAAAAAAAAACAACACAAGGGTGACAGAAACAAGATAAATAAAAGGAATTTATTACAGGGTATTAAATGGTTCACATCAGTGGTTCTCAAAGGGTGGTCCCAAAACTAGAACATCACTTGGAAGTCAGTTAAGTGCAAACTTCCAGTCCTACCCCAGACCTACTGAATCAGAAACTCTGGGATCGGGCCAGCACTTCATGTTACAGCAAGACTTTCAGGTGATTCTGCTGCATACTCAAGTTTGAAAACCACCTGCATAGAGGATCACTGGAAGGGTTGGGGAAAAAACGTTTAGGAACAAGTACTTGTCAAATTGAGAAGTTGTTTACAGCTGCTGGTTCAAGAACCACATGGCTTCTCCTCTGCCATGGTGGGGAGCCAGAAGCTGGATCAAGAAGCCCCTGCCATAGCTGATGGCTCCATAAATAAGCTGCTTCTGCAATAATCAGAAAGTGACCAACTGAGGAAGACTCTTCTCTGGCTCCCAGATCCAGAGCCGTATCACTGCCACTATCTGCAACAGCAAAATGCATGCCTTCTGGCCTGCCTCCTCTCTAAACTCAAGTCCAAATTTGAGTTCCTCAAGAGCACATTTGATTGGCAAGGCCTAAATCATATTCAGAATCTTGGATGGAAAAATTCCAGGAAATGAAATTTCTAGCTTTCCAGGCTCTTAGATGGAGGGTGCTCATTCTCTCACATCCCACTTACCCCAGGGTAGAAAGTAGGATCAGTATTTTCTTAATTCCTCTCCAGTGTCAATTCTTGACCAATAGTCCTCCCCATCTTGTAAAAACCTTGTTCCTTCCAAGCTCGTAAAGTTCAGCTAAATCACTGCTAGTCACTCCACTGTCACACCTGAACCTTGTCAGCATATAAAACCTTTTAACCTCTAAAATCACTAAGACACCCAATATCTGATCACAACCTCCCATCATTACAGCTAGACTGCTCAACTACTATCACTATATCTATTCTTTAACCACATTAATTAATCCACTGATCTCTCCAATTTCTCCCTATGTCAGCCACAAACCATCTAGTTTAGACTTCTTTATTTTAATCAGACTCTTGTTGATATTACAAACTTCCTTTCTTTTTGTCTTTTTGTTCCACAGGCCCGGCAAAATTCAAGCCTGGATGAACCAATCACCCATCTTCTCCATGGGAGCATGTAAGCTAGTTGAGCACTAGCGTTCTAGTTGAGCACAGTTGAGCACACGTTCTCTCTAATCAGCTCCCATACCCTCTCTCCTCCAACGTCTGATACCCTAGTCCTCAGCAGATAACTTAGCCTCAGATTTCTTAAACAATCAAAAACCATACTTCAATTTCTTGTCAGATAACCTAACACTCCCTGCCTCTGAGCCCCTCATCCACTTTCCAAAGCCAAACTTTCCACTTGTGTTCTAGCCCCATGCCCCCTCCTGCCCCACTGAAAGAAAATGAAGATGTTTATCCTTTTCCTTTCCATTGGCTCCTTCTAAACAGAATTTAACGGGAATTCCCTAGTGGTACAGTGGTTAGGGCTCTGCACTTCCACCGCAGGGGACACGGGTTCAATCTCTAGTGGAGGAACTAAGAACCCGCATGCTGTATGGTGCGCCACCCCCCACTCCCACCAAAATAAATAAAATATGTGCCTCCCCAAAATAAATAAATAATATAAAATTAAAAAAATAAACATTTAACTATTTTTTAATTTTCATCTTAACACAAATACAACTATCCTTCAAACCCAGTTCTCCAACTAATATCCTCCTGCCCCTCACAGTCAAACTTTAAGAGCTGTCTGCCCTTGATGTTTTAATCACCCTGCTGCATCCTAACTAGGAGATTGCCTTCAACTCATCACTGAAGCTAAAGTGATCCATAACTGTTGTGTCAATTAGTCCAATACTCTTCTCAGTCTCGTTTAACTTGACCTCTCAGCAGCACCAAGGCTCCTTACCACTTGTTTCTTGAAACATTCTCTTTTCTTGAGAAGTAATTCAAGTCCAGTAACCTTCCAGATGTTTACAAAATTTCCTGTCTTTTACAGGTGTCTTACACCTGTTTGGTAGCTTTTTTGCTTGTTTGCAAACTCACCACTTTTGTCTCTCCGAAGTATTCAGTTTAGTTTGCTTTCTTTTCTTTTTTAGAATTGTTTTTATAAAATCTTTAGTTGATACAAAATACTTATAAATAAGTGTAGAATATAAAGAACAACAATAAAACACCTGTATATCTGCCATGTTTCAACTTACTTTTAATAGAAACAGTAACTCTTACATACTCAAATTTCCTTAAAATTTAAATATATGTCACAATTATATAAACATAGTGACAAATCAACTTATATTAAAAATGTTCGAACCAATACAATGACTCTTGGCAAGCATTCAGTTCAACTACTTAGAGTGACCGGGCCTATAGGAAAAAAATCTACAGGCTTCGAGAATTCAGTGTGCTATGGGCATCAGTAAAGTATGCTTTATGCAGGAAATGGAGAATGTCAGTTAACAGAGGGAGCTAGTTAAATGGAATCAGTTAAGAGAATTTCTACATGTCTTAAAGATTTTTCCATATCATTTTTCCACATACATCTTTTTCATTCTTCTTAGTTACTATATGGTGTTCCATAGGATTATAGTTTATTTGGGTATTTCCCATTTAATGGACAATTGGATTATACTACTATTACAAATAATACTGCAGTGAATATTCTAGTATAGATCTCTTCATTAATAAGAAATTATTTTTCTAGAATAATCATCTGAAGTGGAATTACTGTACTGGGTTAAAGGGTATATACATTTCAAAATTTAATAGATACTGCCAAACAGGTCACCAAGGTGAAAAGCAATTTATACTCTTACTAACTGTAAAAATGGGTATACCCATTTTACCACCCCTTGTCAATCTTTGATTTTTGCCAGTCTGATGAGTGAAAGAATTCTTCCCTACTGTATTTATTTGCATTGTCCTGGTAATAATTGAGATTAGCAACTTTTTATATGTTGGACATCTGTCTTTTATGAATTGCCGATACACATAATTTGCCCATATTTCTACAGGACAAATTGATCATTCCTTATTTATCTGTGCAGTTATTTATGTTGCAAATATTTTCTCTCTGTATCTACCTTTTAAAAAAACTTTGCTTATGTTTCTTGCTAAACTGAAGTTAAATTTTATGAGTTAAATTTCTCAGTCTTCTCTTTTCTGGCTTCTGTTTGTGTCTTTTTTTTTTGGCCATGTTGCATGATGCGGGGATCTTAGTTCCCTGACCAGGGATCGAACCCGTACCCCCTGCCGTGGAAGTGCAGAGTCCTAACCACTGGACCACCAGGGAATTCCCCTGTTTGTGTCTTAAAAAGGCATTTCCTACCCCACTGATATAATATCAGAATATAAGATATCTTCTTTTATTTTCTTCTAATAATTTTTCTAGTTCTGGATTTTACATGTAGCTCTTTAGCCCATCTGGAATTTTCTTATCATAAGAGATACGGGTATTTACTTATTCCATATCTATCTTCCTTAAAAGTTTCATGAGATAGGGCTCTTGTCTATCTGACTCACTATTGTATCTAGAACCTGGTACGTGGTAAGCACAATAATTAACCTTTGTTGATTGAACAACTAACTTCTCAAGGTACAAAAATCTCTAAAAGGATTCACTTCTCATAGAAGGCATGGCATTGGTGGTTAATTTCTATTTTTGACTACACAATGCAAATCCTGGACACAAGTAAAGGATGTTTAGTAAATGTGTACCAGAGTTTATGAAATTTTGCATCGGCACCCCAACTTGTCTGGTTCCCATGCTGCTCCAAGGCTGCCAGCCTGATCTCCCCAGATGTGGAAAATGATTAGATAACACTGCTCCTCAAGTATGGAGTTACTTTACACACACTGTTTGGTCTAATACATTGTCTCCCAAAGTGTTCCTATGGTACAACTGGTGGTATGCAAGATGATTTCTGAGATACAAAAATGAACGATTTTATTTGACTAATTGTGTTTTTATTTTAACTTGTATATATAAAAAGAAAACTATAACTAGTCCATGAAACCCATGGTTTCATCTACATTGTTTAGATCAAGACTAAAGCACTTAAATCTTAAAATTAAATCAATTTAAAGAAAATTACTAAGAAAACAATACTACAGTTGATAAGAAGGGGTGGCCAAAAGAGACGAAGGTACAGGAATGACAGATTTGTGTAACAATATGCCCCTGGGACTATAAGCCTTGGCCATACCCTGCACCCCTCTAACAAAGTGAGTTACCACGGGTGAAGCTGAAGTCACCACCTCTGCCTTCCCCAACAGAAAGCCAAGTTGCTGCGGGATAAAAGGACTAGATTGGGAAACATAACTGGCCCCTGGCTGCGCCAATGAGGTTGCAGCGCGCGGGGCACAACCCCCAGGGTTAGAAGAGCCTCACCGAGGAAGAGGCTGGAAAACAGCAGAATGAAAAGACCGACCCGCTACCTCTCTAGGGGTGACCGCCTGCCCTTTCTCAGTCCTGGGCGTCGGGTAGCTTTCACCACTAGCCTGTTCGGGAAGCGAGCCCTGAGTTTCGTAAGGCTGAGGACTACGGTAGGTTCGCAGAGTCCGAGGGTTGCAATGTAGGCAGCGCGGCGGCCGGGACACAGGACGAGGTGTTACAGACACCGCGTGGGGAAAGAAGGCGAGACCCGAGGAGAGCAGAGATGGGGGATGCACGGTTGCCACCGTGGGTTAGGGAGGTGGGGACCACGACGGTTTCCGGAGGAGTTCAGGGGCTGGAGGTCGCGATGCTGTGCAGAGGCGGAAAAGCGGAGCCGGAGTTGGTTCCCAATATCTTAGTGCTACCGAAAAAGTAGTGGGGTGGGGGGGTAGTAATCGTGGGGCCCCGCACATCCCGCTGTGGTACACTCACCCTCACCAAAGTCCTTCCGGAAGTCCAAGTTCGAAGATGGCGCCGCCTGTCTGGTCGCCGTTTTATGACGAAATCTGGTAGCTACTCTTCATTGACGTCCCCCCCGTGTACAAGGTAAACACGTGGGCTTGGTTGGGAGTTTGTGCCCCAGGACGTTTTCTAGTAGACTATGTATCCCATAATGCAGTGCGGCGAGCGTCCCCGAGCCCTGTCGCAGCGGGCGCAGCTCCCGGGCCTTAGCGGCGCAGGGGACGCCGCTGCACGGCCTTATGGGAATTGCAGTGTCCCGAAGGGAACTGACGCCTGCGCGGTGATAGTCGTCGCGCCCCGCCGGTTCCCACGCGGCTTCTACTCGAGCCTCGACACTGCGAGTGCCCAGGCCTGAGTGTCGCTCCCGAGCGCGGAATCCTGGCTTTCTGTCGAGACTACCGGCCTGTGGCGGGCAGGGACGGGCCGATGTGAGAATATTGACCTGCAGCCCCGCCGTCGAGCCGGAGACTGGAAGACAAAGGAATCCTTGCCTCGGGGGACGACTCCGGCTTCCCCCTCAGGGCAGCCCCCAGCAGATCCAGCCACTAGTGAAGTCATGGACCCAAGACGGAAACACAGTGAAAGGGAAGAGCAGTAGAAAAGCCTGGCATGGGGACGCTCTACTCAAGTGATCCTCGGGCTTGGACCCACCCCTTGGTCGTAGGCCTTGCCCCACTCCCTCCCTGGGAAGTAGGATGCTGCTGGAGAAAGAATGTAACAAACTTCCGCCCTTTCCTGAGGCATTTAAAGCTGTGTAAATCTCACAGGTCTCCATACACCGAATAGTGGAGTTCAGGATGTATAAACAAACAGGAAAGGGTGGAGTAAACCAATCTTTCTCTTCCCAGATAATCTCATCTATTAAATTACCGTGGTTACACAAAACATTTAAGAAAAGCTTGGGAGAAGCTAGCTAAGATTTAAAATCTAGAGCAAGGGGGGCTCCCGTCCCATTTGCCCTAAGTGGCCTAAAGACAGCTAAGGCTGCGCTGTGGCTTAGGACTGACTCCTTTCTGAGAGTGCAAAATCGGGTGCAGTCGAGGCTGCAGTTCCTCTAATACGGGGTATCTACAGTGCTTGTCCGATGAACAGCTCTCAACTTGATAACTTCAAGCATTTATTTTTCTATTAAAATTGTTTTCAAGCATTTATTTCTGTAATGAACAAATCTGACTCTTCTCCATTCCTGTTGCCTCAGATTAGACTATCTTTGACTTCCCCTAAAGCAAAATCTTTTTTATACTAATAATTGTATTTATTTTGGGGATAAGACATTCACATGGCTGCAAATTCAAAAGATACATAGGATATAAAGTGAAGAGTACCTTTCACCTGTCTCCAGCCTCCCAGACCACATCCACCCAGGCAGTTTTCTTGTTACAGGTCCAAGATAACTTTCTGTATTTATACACATGCAAATACATATATATCTCCCCCCCACACACACACCTTTTTTTTTTAACCTTTTGGCCACGCTGCGCATGTGGGATCTAGTTCCCCAGCCAGGGAATCTTTCCCCTTTTTAATTCAAACAGCAACTACACACACTGTCCTGCACCTTACTTCTTTTGAGTGTACCTTGGAGACTATTCCATTTCTCTATATAAAAACCTTCCTTATTCTTTGTTATGATTGCTTAGTATGTAATTATATGAATGTAGTCATAATTAGCCCTTATTATTAATGTATATCCAGGTGGTTTTCAGTCTTTTGCTATTATAAACAATGCTGCTATAAATAACTCTGTATCTAAGCTACTTCAAATGTGCAACTATATGGCTAGCATTAAGTTCCTAGAAGCAGAATTGCTGGACCAAAGTTTAGGTGCATTTGTGATTTTGATTGATAGGCAATCTCTTTTTAATTGATCTGGTTCTCTGCCTCTAATCTCTACCAGCTACCAGCTAAAGCACAGAGCTCACCCTGTTGAACCTCTGCTTAATTTTGATGATTGAGTGGTATGCTCAATATGTAAAAAAACATGAATTCATCATAATCTTTATAGAGAGAAAGCCAAAAATGCAACAACTTCTCATTGTATGCCACTGGAAGTAACCAGTGATCAATCCTGAAAACTGGCAATTAAAAGGAAAGAATTAAACATTTATCTTGCCTTTCCAGTATGGACTGTAATTCAGAATAGTAACTGATGAGAGGGAGTTCTTTATAGAAGATTATTAGCTAGTACGTATGGAATGATGTAATTAGGAAAAAAAAATCACCATGTTGCATCCTCTAATGAAATAATTCAGGCAACAATAAAAGTGGATGAAACCACTAAATAAAAGTTTGTTGGGAAACTTTAAAACACCTAGACCCTTTCATCACTGAAAATGGACCAACCAACCTGATGGCAAGGCAGTATGAAACATACTCAACCTGGTTCCTGGCACAAGTCTATGTCATGAGAAAAGAAGGGGCGGGGTTGGAGAGACTGCTTTTGATTACAAAAAATTTAAGACAAAATAACGACATGTAATATATGGATTTGTTTGGATCCTGATTCAACAGTAAAAAGCTGCTTTTGAGACAATCAAGGAAATTTGATTATGGCTTGGACAATAAGGAAGAGTTTAATAAGTGTAATGACATGGTAAGCTTCCATATTTTTTAGAGACATAATGACGTTTGGAGGAGTAAAACGATATAATGACTGGGATTTGCTCTAATACAACTTCAGCAAGGAAAAAAAGGGAAACAAAAAAAGCATATGTGGCGAATCTTGATAATTACTACATTTGGTGATGGGGATTCTTTGTATAGTTCACTGTACTTCTATGCTGCTTGAAATTTTTCAATAAAACATACACACACATACACACACACACACACACACAAAATGGATGACTCTAACATATTTTTTAGGCTAACCACAATGGTTAGACTCTCACAATCTGGACCCAATCCAACCTACGTTAGCAGCTGTATCACTAATTGTCCACATAAGCCGAGGTTCTAGCTTTACCACACTACTTGACACTTTGGAATTGGCCAGTCATTTTAAGGCCTATTCTGTAGTCTAAGTTATTTCCTCTGTTCACCTGCGTTCTCATTCTTTTCCAACTGGGAAACTTATTATCCTTCAAGGACTAGGTCACATTTTACCTGTGAAGTCTTCTCCAACCTCACTAGATCTCCTGGCAACATCCTAGGTTACTTCCAATGAACTCTGTTCATACTACTAGTAGAATGTATCTCATAGTGTAGATGTCATCTGTCTTCCTCCATCATGATGAGTACTCCTTAATGGCAGATAGCGTAAAAATTACAGGCACAGTCTCTAGATCCAGAATGCCGGAGATCACATGCCGGTTTAGTTAGTGTTACCTTGGGCAAGTAACTTAACCTCTCTGTGCCCCAGTTATCTCATCTATAAAATCACACTTCATAGAGTGGTATTAATCTTCCTAAATGGATAAAACAGGACTACAACAGTTTATGACACACAGTAAATACTCAATACTAAGGATACAAAATATTAATATATTAATGTGTAACTGTTTAACGTAAATATCAATATATTGGTTTAACTTAAATATTAATGTAATAATAATACTAAAATACTAAGGATAGGACTCTTATTTGTCCTTATTATACTCTTCCTCATGTCTAGCTCAGTGTCTGGCACATAGATACTCAATAAATGGTTGATGACTTGGATAGTTTATGGTTTCCATACTGACCTTCACTTTGGCCCCAAAGCACTGGCATGGAGGTTGGTAGCAGGTGCTAAGAGGGGCTGGACAGTCTGGACTCCTAACCTAAGTGGTGGCAATGCTAAAAGAGATAAAAGGCAGCAGAGTTGCTAAGTGTAGGGAGTATGTCATTTATTGACCCTGTGTTCACCCACTCACTGGTCACTACTCTTGACTCGCAGCACAACAGGTACAGAACTGCAAGGGATCATGCCCAGCTCCGTGATCACCAGATCCACCAGTTCTGGGGGGGTCACATCATAGACCAGATTCAACAACCGTAGGGACGAGTGGTTCTGCCAGTCAGCCAGGGCCACACGTTCTCCTCGCTCACACAGCAGATCGTCAGGGTCATCTGCAATGGGAGGTGTACCCTTTTATGTACTTTTAAAAAATAAGCTGTGGGGCTTCCCTGGTGGCGCAGTGGTTGAGAGTCCGCCTGCCGATGCAGGGGACACGGGTTCGTGCCCCATCTGGGAAGATCCCACATGCCGCGGAGCAGCTGGGCCCGTGAGCCATGGCCGCTGAGCCTGCGCGTCCGGAGCCTGTGCTCCGCAACGGGAGGGGCCCCAACGGTGAGAGGCCCGTGCACCGCAAAAAAAAAAAAAAAAAAAAAGCTGTGGTCTTCCCTTGTGGCACGGTGGTTAAGAATCCACCTGCCAATGCAGGGGACATAGGTTCGAGCCCTGGTCCAGGAAGATCCCACATGCTGCGGAGCAACTAAGCCCGTGCGCCACAACTACTGCGCCTGCGCTCTAGAGCCCGTGAGCCACAACTACTGAAGTCCGCACACCTAGAGCCCGTGTCCGCAGTGAGAAGCCCGCGCACTGCAATGAAGAGTGACCCCCCACTCGCCGCAACTAGAGAAAGCTCGCGCACAGCAACTAAGACCCAACGCAGCCAAAAATAAATAAATAAAATAAATTTATAAAAAAATAAAAATAGAAAATAAGTCGTACTTCAACCTCCCCTCTCCCTCCCAAATCTTCTCAGGTCCCTGGAACCTTCTCTCCTGCCCTCCTGGGCCTCCTTACCTAGCTCATTAGAGACAAAGGCATCAGTCTGCACACGCTCACAAAACTTGTATGTTTCACAGCAGACCAGCACTGGCACATTATGGGCCCGTGCCACCAGGGCCAGCTGTGCTGTCCCTACCCGTGACATCACAGACCCGTTGGCCAGGAGTGCATGAGCTCCCAACAGCAGCTTAGAAACCTATTTTGGAGAGTAGAGAGGAGGAAAAAAAATGTCATGTGTGACCAATGCAGAATAAGGTTCCCAATTCTTACCCAGGACAGCAATATTAAGGCAATGGGTAACAAATCTTAATAAAGGCTCTTGGAAAACACCTGACCGTTGACTCACCGCACCACCCACAGGAAAACTAAACTCTTTAGTCCTGTTCCCTCTCAGCGGCTACTAGTTTTATATAAGGTTCTTGCAATAGGTAGACATGCTGTATAACGTGCTGTAGATGCTTCTCCTACTAAATATAAACACAGCTGTATAATTCTAGTACTTCTAGACAATTGCAACGTTGGGAAGGCGAGACTATGTCTATACTACTATACCCTTTT